TGCCAAGAAGAATTTGAACTGGAAGAGAATGTAAAAGCCATGAGATGTGGCCATTATTTTCATGAAGCTTGCAGCCAGTCATGGCTTGGAGGTCAGAAAAACGAATGTCCTTTTTGTAAAGCTACCTTACCCCATGCTGGTTCCTGCTCAACTCCTTCATCGTGTACTCTGACTTAGTGTGGAGACTAGATTATATGGTATAATTTCTATACAAGAACTCATTTATATTAATCATATAATTAAACCATAATTACCAAACAAAACTATATTTATATCTGACCTTAATATTTCATTAATATCTGCTTTTGCAAAAATGCTTATCTTTTTGTTTTGTTCAAATTAGTGTTAGCTTGAACAAGTTCATTCACTTTTACTATTTTTTTTAATTTAAAAAATGGAGGCACTCTTGCTAAAAGATTTTCACCCTATTTTTCTTCTTCTTTTCAGGTATGGAGAATCTCCTCAGTACTTTTCCTAAGAAGATTTCAGAGCAATTTTAAATGAACATTAATAGTTAGTCATTATTATTGTTGTAGAATTAGGGAGTATCCTACTATATATCTTAGTTTTCTTTAGAGTTACTTATTTTCCTTTATCATAATTCTATTTGTATTTGACCATGCATTAGTATTATTAATCTGGTGTTTAAAATATAAGTATTCTCCATCTCATCTTTCTTTCCTTTTTCAGATATATATATATATATATATATATATCTGGACATATTTAGAATGTAATATTGATGATAAAAATAAAAAGAAAAGAAATTCACTCGTATGTTTGTTATTTTTATTAAGGGAAAATCACTTGTAAGTTTGTTATTTTTATTAAGGGGCATTTTTATAATTTTGTTATTTAAAAAGACACAGATAAGATAATGTTGTTATAAATAAATATAAAAAATTATATAAAATAAAAAATTACATTTTATCAAAAAAGAACAGAAATATTTCTACGTAACCAGGAACAGAGGTTAAAATTTTTCAAAAGTAACCCAGTATATTTTTTTCTCCACACCCAATATGCATATACAGCGCCAACAAATAATCGATCAACATTATTTTCGATTTCCTTCACCAATGAGTAATATTTAATTGAGGATGTCTTGATGATGCCAAAGAACGGAACTTTCCATACAGCCGACTTTTACGATTCTGAGTAACTGAATTTTAATTTTAATTAAATTTATTTAAAGTTAGATAACATAATTACCCTGTATCAATGGACACTATTTTAAAAAATTTAAATTTAATTTTAATTAAATTAGTCAGCATTTCTAATATATGTGATATTGAAAATGAGTAAATCAGATAGTAACATAGTTTTAATCTTTTATTTTTCGAAAACTAAAAACCTAAATGGATCAATTCGTCATTACTACTATTAGATTTAAATTTTCTTTGCTAAACATATCTGAAAAAAAATACTTCTCACATAACCCTTAGTTTTAATTTTAAAAGGGAATTGCTTAAAATTTAGCGGTGGATTTGTTCCAATCTAAATCATTGACTTCTTTTTTCTTTTTTTTTTTGTATAGACAATATATCTTACTATTGAAGACAATCTTATTCAAAGTATTATGTACTAAATGTTAAATTATTGACTTCTAATACAGTAAAATGTTTGAATGTAATTTCTGTTAATTTGTTTTAGGCAGACTAATTTCTGTTAAATTTGATTCATTAAGTTATTATACTTTTTTCTACCAATATAATTGCAATTGCAATTTTTTTTTTTTGCCAACAATATTATTGCAATTACTTCAACCAATTGGGCACTAATGGGGGAAAGAGAAAAAGAATTCGCAGCTGCTACACTCAGAGGATGCATTATATTTTATTGATTTAAAGAGAAAAAGAATTGTTATGGAAATAACTCTTCACCCATATAATTCGACCTAACTCGTTTTGAATCAGTTACAAGGGTTGTAATATGACTTTGAAAACGGTGCATATAATAAATATGTGTTTATACTACACACACATGTCTTTTGCATCGTTCAATTATTTTAAAATTCATAGGTACATTAGGGTAAAAAAGTATTATTATACTAAAAGAAATTTGTGGTCATGATAAGAAACAGAAAGGATTTAACAGTCATAATGACAACTTAATAATTGAGCCAGCACATTTCAGATATAAAATTATGGGAGAATTACGTACAATCAATCCCAAGAACAAAAAATAATTACTAACAAGTCCAAATAACAACTTAAATAGCTTATAATAAATGACAAGAATTAGAGTAGGCAATCACAATCTCTGAACTTATTTTGTAATTGTTTTTTTTTTTTTGGACTTCATTATAATTCTCTCAAGTTAAAACCCTAGATGCATGGTTTGTTCCTTTTTTATGTCGAAGACTAGAGCCATCAAGAGCAACAACAGCCAGCCACAAGAGAAACAGACAATCTTCGAATAAGAAAATGGTGAGTGACGACTACTATCTTCATGAAGATCTCATGGAGGAGATCATGGTGAGGTTGCCAGTAAAATCTTTGCTTCGATTCAAATGTGTAGCCAAATCCTGGTATGCTCTAATCACAGACCCTTCTTTTATCTCCAAACATCTTGAACGGTCTAATTCTATCAGTAAGAATCTCCACCTCAAGCTTATCTTCCAATTGTTCAGTCAATATCTGCCAGTCACCATATCTCTGATTTCTAATATAGAGCAACCTCGTGTGATCCGAAACTTAGAATTGCCTTGTTCTACCAACGATTTGAAATGGATATTAGTTTATGGTCAGTGTAATGGGATTTTCTTTCTCTGTGGAGATTATGAAGGAGATGTTCGGTGCTCAATTTTGTGGAACCCAGCAACAAAGGAGGTGAAGGCTATCCCTACGTCTCAAAGGCAACCCAAAGGGATAAATCCCACCAACTTTGGATTTGGGTTTGATCCCATCACAAAGGATTACAAGGTTGTTCGATTCCCAATCTGTCCAGTGGAAAAAAATGACCAACCACTAGTTGAAGTGTACAATCTCAGTACTAATTCTTGGAGAAAAATAGATGCTGATGTCTCCTTTTTTGAATTCCCCTATTCATATAGAGGTCCTTATTTGAATGGGGCTTACCATTGGTTATGTCGTGACCTTGATGAGATCAATAAGTTTATCGTGAGTTTTGATTTTAGCAAAGAGGTATTTAAGATTATCCAGAGTCCTCCTGGGATTACTTCCTCTTCTACTGAGAATAATCTTCTTACTACAATGGATGAGTGTCTTGCTTGGTTTGTTAAGTATGACTCGATTGAGTTTCGTGTTGAGATTTGGGTGATGAACGAGTATGGTGTTGAGAGCAGTTGGAGTAAGAAGTTTGTGGTTCGACCATTCTCTGAGTCTTGGCACATCTTAGGGTTTTGGGGAGACAATGAGATTCTTGTTTATGAAAACATTAGTGGTCAAATGATTTCATATAATTTTCGGAATGGACAGAGGCAGAGGTTGCAAAACCACTTTCCAACCATGAAAATGATGGATTATGTGGAAAGTTTGTGTCCTTTGGGAGGAAAGGGGAAATACCAAAAAATATGACAAAAATTTATATTTTATTTTTATATCCATCGTGTCCTCTTTTAATTACTCTAACTTTTTTTCAAAAAAATATGTGGATTATGTGGAATGCTGTTATTTTGTTTTGAATTGCCGTTAGATTCATATCATTTAAAATTCGATGATCTTGTTTTGTGGGTTGATATACTAATAATTATATTTAGGCAGATTTTAAATCTGAAATATTGTTAGATACGCTACTTGTGCCCTCTTTATATCTGGAAAAAAGGCAAAGAAACATACATGCTAATTTTTGGGATCTTATTGCTATCTCGTATCAGTTAAGGGATTTGACCAAAAAACCAGGAAAGCAAAAGGGGATGCAGATGCAGTTAAAGAAATTTAAAAGGAATTTAATCATTTGAATCAATTTATTTATATTATATAATAGGTTTTGGATTGCGACACCAAATTTAAATCTATTACGTAGCTAATGACGAATTGATCCATTTAAGTTTTTATTTTTTGGAAAAATAAAATATTTAAAGTATTTTAACATCACAAATATTAGAAATGCTGGCTAATTCAATTCAAATCAATTTTTTTTGCCCACTAGTTCAAACTAACTTTAAATCATTTAAAATAGTATCAAATGATATAGGACAATTATAGTACCTACCTTTAAATAAATTTAATTTAAATTAAATTCAGTTATTCAGGATCGTAAATCGAAAATAAAGTGATCAATTATTTGTTGGCATTATATGTATATCACTATATTGGGTGACTTTTGAAAAATCTTAACCTTTGTCCCTCGTTGAAATATTTCTGTTCTTTTTGATAAAATGTAATTTTTTTATACATTTGTATATTTTTTATAATAAAATTATTTTGTCTATTTGACTTTTTAAATAAAAAAATTATAAAAATACCCCTTAAAAAAATAGCAAACATATATATAAATGAATTTCTTTTCTTTTTATTTTTATCATTATATTATATATTCTAAATAAGTCTAGATATCCTTAATTAATTTCATAAGCTAAAAAAGAAAGAAAGAGAAGATGGGGATGAAGATCATATGAATATATAATCCTTAATTTTTAAACACTAGCTTAATAATATTAATGTTCTTACAAGTAGAACTATGATATAAAGGCAAATAAGTATAGCTCCAAAGAAAACTAGGATGGTAGGATACTCCCTAACTCTATTACAATAATAATGACCAACTATTTATCTTTATTTAAGATGCTCTAAAATCTTTTTAGAAGAAGTACTGCAGAGATTCTTCATGCCTGAAAGAAGAAGAAAAATAGGGTGAAAATCTTTTAGCAAGAGTGCCTTTATTTTTTAAATTAAAAAAGTAGATGTTAATGAAAGGTAAATTAATGTTAGATAAATATAGTTTTGATTGCTAATTATGTTTTAATTAGATTATTAATATAAATGATGAGTACTTTTTGCATGAGAAATTACACCATATATCTAGTCCACACTAGGTCAAGCAAATGAAGAACTTGAGGAGGAACCATCAGCACCAGGCTTCTTCTTGTAACCAATAACTTTGTGGTCTTGGGGTAAGGTGGCCTTACAAATAGGACATTCGTTTTTCTCACCCCCAAGCCATGAGTCACTGCAATTCTCATGGAAATAATGGCCACATTTCATGGCTTTCACTTTATCTCCCAGTTCAAATTCTTCTTGACATATCGGGCACTTGGGCTGTTGTTCCTGCAAATCTTCAGTGATCTCGAATTCTTCCATCTTTTCCATTGAAGATTTTGGAGCTGGCTTCTTCGAAGCTTGAAATGCCCTATACTTGTCGATGAATTCATTACCAAGACGTTCAATATTGGAAGGCGATATGGGGCCATTGCAATGAGGACAGAGGACGGTATTAGGAGGAGCCAAGACAGTAGTAGTACATTCAATGCAAAAGTGTTGCTGAAGATCCTCTGGAGAGGCAGCCATGGCAGTAATGGTACTGTGAAGAAAGAAAGATGAGATGAGCCTACAAGATTGCTTTATGGAGGAAGGTGATGGATGGTTTTAATAGCTGATGATCACGCCTAATTTGAGGCCACATCGATCAGAAACGCATGAACGGAGAGGAATATATATATATGCGCGCGCGCGAGAGGGGGGACTCTTTACTTCAAACTTGCTGTTTCGTACTCTGAGCAAACCAACTAAATGCAATATTCATCAAGCTTAGAGACTCCACCCACATGAATTTACATATCATGGCAGATCAGTGAAACTCTAAGACAAGACAATAAAGAATGTATTTATTAATTAACAACCGAAGTCGTCTCTTTTATTAGTGGGTAGGAGTAATTTATCTGTGAGTAGTCCTTATAAGTTCAATTAAGTTTTAGTCACGTCCTTACACATAATTTCACGTAGTTTTAGCTATATCTTTGTAGTTTTTTTTTTTTATAATCAAGTCCTTATATATCTTTAATTAAATAGGTTTAACTAGGGATGCTCAACTTGTCATGTCCCAACTATCCTGTCTTGGTCCCACTTAATTCGAAACAGGATGAGACGAAACAGTGCCCGGAACAAGAAGGGACATGGGAGGGGGTTATCCCATCCAGTCCTAAAGTATTAATTTATTTTTAGAAATTCACTTATTAAATTAATATTGGTATTTATTTTTTCAGTGATTGTTTTACTGTCAAATGCACAAATTTTTTTTGGGCTCATAATTTTGGCTTTTCGCATAATAGTTTTTGAAGTATTTTTATCTTTCAAAAGTTCAATGAAAATAAACAATACAACAAAAACCAAGTCCAAAATTCTGACCCAATTGGCAATGATTTGAAAACGAGGAAGAATGATGAGACATGAGGACAAAAATTCCGTATAGTCACTGTTCATTAGCTATCCCGTGAGCACCTCTAAATTCAACAGATTTTTAATGAGGTTTTTGTAGTTTTTAAATTTTATTTATTGATTAAATTTAATATTAAATAATTAAATAATATTGTGTATTATTTTATTTTTTAGAGAATAATATTATTAACATTTATAAAATAAAGAATGAGAAATTAAAAGCATCTAATTAAAAATAAGGTGAATTTATAAGGATATAATAAAAAGAGAAAAACTATGACTTGCTTAAAAACAAGTGAGATAAGAACATGGTAAAAAGGAAAAAAAATATAAAGACCAGATTAAAAATCAGCTAAAATTATAAGGATTTAAAAATTAATTATTCCCTAAACACTATAAGTAGTCTTTTTGCTATCAATTTGACTTTGAATTAAAAACAAAAATTAATAGTCAATATACAAAGATTGGTGCAGCTAGTAACTAAAAGTCAGTTGTTGATTCTTATAAATGCATATAGCGGTTTAAATAGGGAGTGAGAAAGTAGAATGAAAGTTTTATACTTTTCAAAATGAAACAATTGAAACAATAGATTTTATTAGTAATCTAGAAATTTAGCTAGTGTTTTTTTTTCGAAGGATAGAAAAAATTTAGCTGGCTTAATTACAAAGGAGAAACACATTTTGGATGTAGATCTTCTAGGAGAACAAGACATTAACTCTAGGGACAATCACATAAAAATCCCAATAAAAATTTTACTTACTATTAGGCCCCATTTGCGAGTGATATATATATATATATATATATATATATATCCTGTGATTTAAGTGTAATTAACACAGTATATATGCAATAAAAGTTAAAGTATTTTACCCCTCATCCTTAGCAAGCAAAGGGGCTGAACATGCTCACCGAGGGAGCGGGTCCGATTTCGAAGCACATCATGATACTGGGAGGGGTATCTTCGAAGCCAAAGTCTCGCTCATAAGCAACAGGGTCTCTTGTCCCAATTTAAGCAATGGTGTTAGTGAGGTTGGGATCAAGGGTTAGTTGCTTGGCTTTTGGATCATGAGTGAGTCCAACCCTTCTTCTAAAATTTGCTCAAAAACCAAAAAAAAAGAAAGTATTTTACTCTAATTATTAAGAGGATTTGACAAAGTATTAGTGAATGACTGAATGCATACAAAGCCTCGCTAAATATAGGAGGATATTAACTTCTCTAATTCCTCCCTGAATCAATGTGCGTAGTTATATACTACCTTCAGTTCTTAATATAAGAGGTAGTTAACTAATTCAAATAAATTAAAAAAATTAGTTATGTTAGTTATTTGTAATAAATAAATATTGTCTTTCTCAAAATATCTTTGCTAATTATGTATATTAGTTATAACTACTATTTGATGAAACCTTTAATATATTCTTGAAAAAAAATATAAATATAAGAGACAAAAGTAGATTGGGTTTTATATTTAAAACCAAATTAAATGTCAAACTAATTCTTATATTAAGGACCAGAAGTAGTATTATTTAACTAGACACAGTAAGGGATTAATCCCTCTTCAAAGTAGTGGAAAATATTTTTATTGCTAATTCCTCCCTACGAAATTAAAGTTACAAATAGGGGCACATTCCATGCTCGGAGATAGTAATGGAGGTTATCATCACTCACTAATATTAATCACGAATTAAGTCCCTTGCTAAATTAATGAAGAAACAAACTCTTCCTCAGTACTTTTAGCGGTTAAATTAATCTGAAGCATGAAATTAATAAAAAAATCAATTCCTTATTAATTTTAATTTAAAGAGGGGATTATTTAAAGTTTAGCACTGGACTTGTTCCAACCTAAATAATTGTTTTCTATTAGGGTAAAATGTTTTAATGTAATTTCTGTTAAATTTTTTTTACGCGTGATAATTTTTTTCTACCAATAGGCAGGCACTACTGGGGAAAAAGGGAAAAAAATAATATAGTATTTGTATTTGTTCGGTTGTTCCCACCGATCGGGCATTATATTGTGTTGAATCTGAGCGTTTGTGGATGAAAAAAGAATTGTTATTGAACTAATTACGCACCCATATTCTATTTTGTTGAAATTACACACCCATATAATTCGACCGAACTCGTTTTCAATCAGTTAGGATTGTGATATGACTTTAAAAAATTGCATATAATAAATACGAATGCTTATACATAGTTCACCTTTGCATTTTTCAATTGTTTTAACATTTCTTGGTACATTATGGTAAAACTTCTAATAAAAGAAATAGATCATTCTCTTTCCTTTTTTTTTGTTACTGTATATAGGAAAACTTGAATACAAAGAATCGTTCACAACAAAATAACAACTTGAAAAGTGAGTCTCACTTTTCAATATATATTTATATATAATAACTTACCTATAAAAATATATCTTAAAAACATATTCCCATATACATCATCCCCATAAATTAAAACCCTAAATGCAGAATCCAAGAGCAGCAACAGGCCCAAGAGAAACAGACATTACTGTTAGAACAAGAAAATGCTGAGCAAAGATCTTCCCGAAGATCTCATGGAGGAGATCACAGTGAGGCTGCCAGTAAAATCTTTGCTTCGATTTAAATGTGTAGCCAAATCCTGGTACGCCGTAATCACTAACCCTTCTTTTATAGCCAAACATCTTGAACGGTCCAATTCTATCGCTAAGAATCAATGCCTCAAGTTAATGTTCCAATCGCCGACCCATCAGCTGCCTCCCTCCATATCCTTGATTTCTAATAGAGAGCAGCCTTGTGTAATCCAAGACTTAGAATTGCCTTGCTCTAAGAACGATTTGAAATGGATATTACCATATGGTCAATGTAATGGGATTGTCTTTTTGTGTGGGGACTATGAAGGAGATGTTCGATGCTTAATTTTGTGGAACCCTTCAACAAAAGAGGTGAAGGCTATTCCTGCGTCCCCATGGCAACCTAAAGGGATAAATCCCACCAACTTTGGATTTGGGTTTGATCCCATCACAAAGGATTACAAGGTTGTTCGATTTCCAATATGCCCTTTGGTGAGGAGAGAACAACTACTTGTCGAAGTGTACAATCTCAGTACTAATTCCTGGAGAAAAATAGACGTTGATGATGTCTCCTTTTATGAATCCCATAAATATTCATGTGTGGGTTCTTATTTGAATGGTGTTTATCACTGGATATGTCGTTCCCTTGATGAGACTGATAAGTTTATTGTGAGCTTTGACTTTAGCAAAGAGGTTTTTGGGATTATTCAAAGCCCTCCTGGAATTGCTTCCTCTCGTAGTCAAAATAATCATCTTTCTGTAGTGGATGATCGTCTCGCTTGGGCTGTTAAGCATGATTCGATTGATTATCGTGTTGAGATTTGGGTGATGAGTGAGTATGGTTTTGAGAGTAGTTGGACTAAGAAGTTTGAGATCCGGCCATTCCCTGACGCTTGGCATATCTTAGAGTTCTGGGGACATGATGAAATTCTTGTTTATGAAGACGATGTTAATCGATATGTTTTATATAATTTTTGGAAGCAACAGAGACAGATATTGCAAAGCCACTTCCTGAGGAAGACAGCGATGGATTATGTGGAAAGTTTGGTTTGTTTGGGAGGAAATTAAAGGGACACAAATATATATATAACAATGATTTATATAATTGTATTTTCTTATCCATCCCATTCACTTCTATAAATTTCTTTTTGTTTTCATGATTAGTGAGTATAATAATATTTTATGTTTCTTTGGTTAAAAAATTACTCTAACTTTTTCTAATAAATCCATTGAATGCTGCTATTTTGTTTTGCCCATATGTAAAAACTTTATATTGAATAGACGATCATACCTCATTAAATCAAGGGAAAATGAGGGAAAAGGACCTAAAAAATAGTATTTATATTATTAAGAGGGATCTTAAAAATTGCAATTAAAATACTAAAATAAAATTTTACAATCAACAAATTATCCCTTGCCAAATCCTCTTATTATCTCCAACACCCTCCTATCTCAATATTTGACTTTTACTTACCAATTGAATTTTCTCTGATTTTTCTCTCTTTGTGTATCTCTTTTTGGTGCATGCAAAGTTTCTCATCAATGGCAATTGCCTTCTTGTAAATGCATAATAAAGAAGACAAATTAAAAGGAATCAACCAATAGACTATTCACTGAACGGTACGTGTCTTTTGATCATTATTCTCCCTCTTTTAGTTTGTTTGTACTAAATGTTTTCTTATTTCCTCGACTGCAAACATCAGTAATTACAATATAACACCTTTTTTTATACTTACCCTATTTATATGTACATGTTTCGCATCCAGTTTTATTGTAACATGTTGTACGTAAATTTGGATGCATATAAACTGATGATGATAAGATAGGTAGCGTCATGGAATTCAAGTGAAAATGATAGATATTTGGTTCATTAATAACACAAGCTCTTGACTAAGGTCAATATTATTGTGCAATATAAACATAGATATTATAGTTTGCACAATTTAAATGGATGAGGTGGATTATGAGGATCAACGGTCAAAACCCACTATCTCAATAACCAAATCAAGGTAGATATCAAGTTATTATATGAATAGCAGCACCATTTTATGAGTGATTGATGGGAGATGCGTTCTCCTTTTAGTTTAATTAAAAAAATGAATTATTATCTTTTTGTTTTTAGAACATTAGGAAATTAGTATAGTAATTAATGTGATTATATGACCATTATTGAAACTCTTAGAATGATTTATTCATATTTAATTTAGCATTTTATCATCTAAGTTATTAGTTGCATTATGATAAACTATTTGATCTACTCATGGCATTTTGTGCAATTATATATCCAAGTTCAAATTGAGTTTTATGATGATAGAGACAATATAGAAGACAAGGTCCTAGGTATATGCTTTGCTAATTAAATTGAATTTTTAACTTTTTAATGTTTTTTTAGTTGCTTGATTTGCCTAGTATTAACCATATATTTTTGAAACTTGTAACCATCAATTTAATGTCGTAATATTTGGTTCAGCTTTCTTTAGTGATGCAATGATATTGTTCAAATTTCCTTATTAAGTTAGTAAGGAGTTATAATTACTTAAATTTTAATTCGTTATTATCTTGGTTTGCTAATATTATTAACTTCTTGGATGAATATAAAAATATATATTTGTAGCTTCATTCAATCCCAACTATACGTACATATAAACACAATCATGCCGCCTATGCAAAGTTTCTCAGATGAATATAAATATAGTTCTTCTGTTGACCAAAATATGAAAATCAGACAATATTATTGCTTTGCACCTAAGCTTCACTAACAATTTTTCCAGCCATATCGGAATGAAAGGCTAGTAATTGTAGACATGAATAGGTGGAAAATAGGACTTTTTTTGTTAATTACTGTATTCATTTTTTAATTTTAATGACAGGTAATTTAGTAATTATAAATTCATATTTTAGTTGATGACTAATCGTCAAATATTGAGATTGGTGTTGGAGATAATATAAAAATTTGGCAAGGGATAAATTTCGTAATTGTAAATCTTTTAGCTAGGATGCCTTTAATTTTCAAATTAAAAAATAGGTATAAAAGTAAATGAATATGCTTAAGGTACCTCTAATTTTAAAACGAAATATATCTTTGCAAAAGAAATTGGCAAAAAAAGAAGAAGAAGAAGAAGAATTATAAGAAATTGAAAATTAGAAATTAAAAGATACTCCTCCGGTCCTTAATATAAGACCCATTTAACTAATTTGATTAAATTAAGGAAGTTAGGTAAGTTAGTTAATTATAGAAAAAGTGCCACATTTTTCCTAAAACACCATAATCATCTTTCTTAATACCCATTCTCCCTCTTCTACTTGATTATGGTTGAGGGAGTATCCATAAGGGTATTTTAGAGAAAATTGATAAATATGAGAAAAGGGTCTTATATTTAGGACCAAAACCAACACAAGAATTGAGTCCTATATTAAGGACCGGAGGAGTAGAATAATTATATACCATATTCTATTCACTACCATTATTATTACCTCAAGCCTTAGAAGAACTAGAGGAGGAACCGCCACCACAGCCGAACAGGAAAAGATTAGTCGCTTGAGGTAAGCAGGCTTCACAAAAAGGACAAGCATTTCTCTTATTCTCTAACCATGAAACAATGCAAATGTTCATGGAAGAAGTGTCATAGCTTTCACTGTTGTTTCCAGCTGAAACTCTTCTGGGCATTCTGGTTGTTTTTCCAACAAGTCCTCAGTGATCATCATCTTCTCCATCTTATCTATGGAGGATCGAGAAACTGGCTTCTTGCTGGAAGCCTCAAATGCCCGCAACTGTTGAGTGTAAATTTCTTCAGGTGCACGCTTCTTTTGTGAAGACCCTATGTCCTCATTATGACAAGAACTACAGCGCTTAGTTGAAGGATCAATGAACACGTACGGATCTGTTGCATTTGCTGCAAAACTATGACTGATAGTCCTCTGGCCTAGACATGACAGTGGTATAGTTTGAAGATGGAAGATGAAATATAAGGCCAAGGTTAATGGAGGAATAATTATCATGTGGAAAAATTGCATTCATGCTAAGGAAATTAAACTTCAGTTTCAATCAAAGAATAGTGCCGTGTGTGAATGCAAACTGATTCTTTGTGTTGGGCCCCAGTCTTGGAAAAGTTAGGAGCCCACCAAATTACCCTATCACGTCATGGGGAACAAAGCCTGTGGGCGGGCGCCCATGGATTATCTAACAGAATGAGTAAAAAAGTGTTCGCAGACGACAAGACAAGAAGTATTTTTTTATAAATCGAGATAAATTTTTTTATATATTTTGTATATTATAAAATTACTTTTAAAATTATGATTTAGTTTCTACGTAAACACTCTTTAGGTTTCTCATAATATAAAGGGAGTTTAGAGCTTCACACTACCTCAAATAAGAGTTTCGCACTACCTCAAATAGTGATTATTTTTAATAGGACAAAAAAATTGAGTTTGTACGAAAGAACTGATTAGTCTGCTGAAGAATTTTGAACATGTACAAGAGATCAGATTTTAGGTCCCCCCCCCAATGAGCCCTGAACAACATTATTTTGACTTGAAAAAAGAAATAGGAAAATTAAAGTTTATGAGATTTGCACTTTATCAACTCTATTTTATTAGCCTATATGTGATTTATACATGAATCTTACATTTACTTTTTAATTATACATAAATATTATTGTATATTACCTTCAGTCCTTAATATAAGACCTTGTTTGACTTTTATTTTGATCGTAAATATAAGACTCCAATCCACTTTATCTCTAACATTTATGTATTTTTTTTTTAAGATAGTCCTTCTAATAATGGTAATTCTAATCAATGCACTTAATTAGTAAAGATATTTTAGGAAAGACAACACTTATCTATTACAAATAACTAACTTAACTTATTTCCTTAATCTTCTCAAATTAGTCAACTAGCTCTTATAATTAGGATCGGAAGTAGTATTTTAATTAAATTATATTTCATCTCTTATTATAAGCACTTAATTTCGTTTTATTTTTTTTGTAACATATCAAAATTACTATCAACAAAAGTTATTAGGTACAGGAGTTTATTAGGTGAAAAATAATTAAAGCTTTAATCAAAACATGGTATATTATGGAACATGCTGCAGATTCTTATAATAAAAACTGATAAGAATGTTATTTTAACTATGAGTGAATTGACCCCAATTTAATTATGGTTAGACTATAGACCTTTGAACTATTATCTTAATCACTTATTGATCGGTTTGATTTTCAGTATCTTACTTTCTATAATATATTATGTTGAATCCACAAAGCATGATGTCCAAGTGTAGGTTTGAATTTCCTTAAACCATCCAAAACTTTGGAGATTTTTCTGACATCTAACGACCTTAAGTGGTTCTATTTATAATTTAGGCATGACCGATAATTTCATATATAATTTCAAGTAATGTTCCCCTAATCATCTAAATTAACATTTTTTTTTTCAGGATGGGATGGCCTTGTATTGTTAAGATTATTTTGGGTTATATTATAACTCTTGACTTATTTATAAATAAGTTGACTAACACATCCTGGCCAGTTTAATCTCCAACTTTTATAATTCTAAGAAACAAATTTGTGACTTAAATTATACGAGAGAATCTTTTAGTATGCATCAAGTTTAACGAAATAAATTTTTATTTTAAATGAGAAATACAAAAATATTAATTTGGTTTAGACATATGCGCCCTTTTCTGACGTGAAATTCTACAAACCCCTTCGCAACCATATAAATATAACGTGTATGTGAAATGTGAATGAAAATGACCAAAATAATATTTGAAAATTAGAAGTAGAGTAAAGAAGAAATAAAATACATAATATAAAAAAATGTTTGATATATAAAAATTTAAAAATATTAATTTTTTTTAAATACTCAGACTAGAATCATGAAAAACACATAATAACAGCATTAATGTGTGGTCACCGTCCTATTCATTGTGATTTTGAAGGCACAAAATTATATGTTTTGGGTATATTCATTGCACATCTCTTGTTGCGGACAGTTCGAGAATTATTTGAAGACAGTGATGGAATCACTTCTGGCTTCAATTCTAATTTGCCAAACATTATGTTTAAGAAATATTTTAAGATAGATTTTGTGTTCCTGGGCTGCAAAGTCCCAACCGAAGATGTTAATAGGCAGTTATTCGATTTTATTTATAAGGTATTTTTAATATGTTTTACATAAATAAAAAAATTTTAAATTACATTAACTCTTTTTTAAAATATAACAACTTTCTATTTTTATTCTTATTTAATATATATACCTTTTTCTAAAAAATAATTATCTACACTATAATAAATGAAAAAACAAAACAATACATTTATACTAAAAATTAAATAAAGTGATTTATAAATAAGACTAAAAAAATAAGGTGGACCTTTCTCTGTGAAAATTTGAACCTTAGTTTGTTACTCCTCTGGTCCTATTTATAAGGTGCTTTTTAAAAAAAAAACCTTAAACTTTATTAATTCTCATTTAAAATTTAGTAATTTTTTAACTTTATCCCTATTTAATATATATTATATCTCATATAAACAAAGTTAATACAATAATAAATAAGGGATAAAATTGTACATCTATACAAAAAATTTCTCTCAGTACCCTATAAATATAACCAAAAATACTATATCTGGATCCGACCCGTCGCGTACCTAGCTGTGGTGGGTAAGTCTCCCAATAGAGATTTCTGCATACGCTGAGACTCAAATTTGAGACCTCGTTTAAGCAGTACCAAGCCGCTTACCACTTGGACTAACTTCTGTTGGTTCTTCTTTTTTTGATTGAACCATGACTAGTATTTTTAAGTAGGGTTGCCCGCTGCATAAAAACCTAGTAGTTTAATATGACCTGATTCAATCCAAACAAACCCGGTCCAATTCAGTTAAAAAAAAAATAGCCTGAAGCAAGATTGTACTAGTCTCATCAGGTTAGACTAGACTGGGAATTGACCCTCAGACCATTTGATCCAATCTAGTCTAACCCGATTTTTTTTTAATTTTTAGCTATTATTTATATAATTTTAATTTTTTTAATTCTCCTATATAATTTTTTTGTCAATTCAAATGTTCAAGATTTATCTATTAATTTTCTAAGTGATGATGAGCATGTAAATATTTTTTTGTGTGTATATGATCTATATTGATGAGGATGAATAAATGAAACATGTTGAGAAATTAAAAGTAAATGATTAAATTTGATGAAGTTTGGATTATAACTGCAAAATTTAATATGGTAAGTTAAAATCTTGCCACTCATTAAAAAAAATTAAAAAAGTTAAATTGAGGTCTTGAACTATTCCAGACAGTCTTATAGATTGAGTCTAATTTAACTCGATCTCAAATTAGTACTGGACCGGATTTTGAGCTGTTTTTTTTAACCCGAAACTTTTACTATATCGGACATTGGTTGATAGTAAACTCGGTGAAATCTGTTTCACACCCACACGTATTTTTGCGCTTGAATCTAATCAATCCAACAAAATCCAAATCTTTTTTTTTTTTGGACGGAAAACAAAATCCAAATCTAAATTGAAAGATTTTTAAAGAATCCAATCTAAATTTTACCCCAAGGTCAAGTCTCGTGACTGATTCTAAGACTTTCTCTTCTCCTCTCAGCTTTTAATAAGACGAAGCAAAGTGCAGCAAAAGCTTTCTTGGTCAGCTCGCCACCGCCTCCTCGTCTCATTTCAGATTCGCGTCTCTCTCTCTCTCTCTCTCTCTCTCTCTGTGATTGCATCGTTATCGAAAACCCTCCGGCTTAATCTAGAAGAAAGAACCACTCTGCCTTGTTCAGACAGAGACAGAGACGCGCCTTGATCTACAATAGCACCTACTGCTTCTGATTCTGATTCGCATTGATTTTCCCTCTTCTTTGCATTGAAATTGCCCACTTTTTTATTATTTGCCCCAAATGGCTTATGTAGATCACGCCTTCTCCATTACGGACGACGATCTCATGGAGACTTCCTACATCATCCACAACAAGCCTCCCATTAAGGAGATCGCCCTCGCTGTTTCCCTCCTCGTCTTTGGAACCCTAGGCATCGTCATCGGTTCCCTCATGGCCTACAAGCACATCGGCGGCGACTCTTCTCACGGTACCCTGCTTTTTTTACCCCTTTTCCTTTCCAGATTTATGTTCTCATTCCGAGTGTCCCCTGTGGAAATTCTTTATCCAGTTGGGTAAAAGTGAAAGTTTCGTCAGTTGAGCTGAAATTTCTAATCAGAGCTTGCATTTTTTTTTATTTGTGATTTATTGGAAAATAAACCCTAACTTGAAGCTAGGTTTTTTTTTTTTTTAGGGGTTTTCGCTTCTCAGGTAGGTGGTATAATTGAATCTTGTCTGGATGATCTAAACTTTACCTGATCTTGAGAATCTCAGCTACATTGGAGTATCAATTACTGTTTTGGATTTATGGCCTATGTTGCTGATTAACCGGTTAAATAGAAGCGAAATTTTAGTAAAAGAACTACGAATTTCTAATAAAATAGACGGAATTTTCTTTCTTTCTTTATCTATTTTTCCGCTGGTGATTTACTGGAAATTCAGCAGACCGGAAATTGGGTTTTCCCCACTTTCTCTGTCTAACTTGGTATTGGCTCTCTTGTTTCCCAATAGTCCAATGGAAATATTGTGAACTTGCCTCGAAGGATTTAACTACTTGCTGAGTACAGATTGCTGATACAGATTCATGAGTTTATTGCTTGGTTGTTGATTTGAATGTATCTGTTGAATATTTATAGGACTGTTCTTTGCCATACTGGGGATGGTATTGTTCATTCCTGGTTTCTACTACACTCGGATTGCATATTACGCATACAAGGGATACAAAGGGTTCTCATTCTCAAACATACCTCCTGTATAGAAGGCGAAGGCTCTGTTCTTAGGTCAAAGTTCAGATAGCTTCCTCTCATGTACAGGTGTCTTCGTTCGTTGTTGTTCATTCCCCTCTCTCTCTTTTGTTTTCCTCTTGTTTCGTGGGAGATATAATGTGTATTTAGATTTCAGTTGTTTTCACGCCTGAATTAATGCAGACTGTGGTTTGTACATTTCAATGTTTTCATTAGTGTATTGCGATTAGTTCAGTTTGCTATATTTGATCAGTTCTCTTGCATATGTGGAGCACACTTGTCCTTATGATTTTGTGCTCCTATGGATCACTTATAAGCACTTACAAATATATTTTATGTAAGTTAGGATAAAATTTTTTTTTATATACTTATCTCGTATTTATTTTGTAAATCACGATTTAAAAACTGTTAATAAACTATTTTAAAAAAGCTGCTTATAAATTATTTTAAATGAGTCCTGGGTATGAAAATAATTTTATTTTAGTATCGGTGGCCCTCGTAGCTACTCCTCTATCACTAACCAAAGCTGGAAAACACATTATGATCCATATGACGGATACAGACGCCTATTTGGTATCTGGTATTAACCGTTTAAACTCGAGTATTTTTAGATCTAATTGAGGATAATTCTTTTGGGAGAAACATTGAGCCCGAAAGAATGAATATAATTATCAGAGTCCCAATAACAAGTAAGTAGCATAAGCTTATTTTATGTTGTTTACTTGTTTAGTACTTTTCTCGAGACCTAAGTTATTCTGTCCAATTCTTTCAATATCGTTTTCACCATGGCTCCGTGCACAAAGTTTGAGCTTTCAGCCTTGCTTTTCTTTTTTTCTTTTTTTAAGTGAAAATCAAGCCTTGCTTATGCAGCTTAAACAAAATACTTACTTTTCATTTTAAAAATAATACTCGATATTCAGTGAAATGCCATCTCAAATTTCCCTTCAAGTTTTGAATGGACTTATTTTATTTCTTATTTAATGAATCAAATGTAATGTTTTGAAATTCATATAATATTATGCGTGAAACCACTCTGACCCACTTAATTTATGAGAATCTTGACACAACTGACAACTCTTGAATAAAGTCGGCAGCCGCCCTGTGCGTCTTACTATTTATTTGGATCCATTAGTTCATAAGTGCGCTCAAAATCAGGCATTTTTTAGAGCAATGTATTGCACTATAATTTAATAAAGTGCATTAAATTACTTAAGTATGTTGTCGCCTGTGGTTAGGATAAACTGTATTATTCTGTTTTTAACACGGGGTTCTTACAAATTGGACTAAATTGATTCCGTCACAATATTCATCTTGATATTAATAGACTGACTGGTTAGGTGAAGTGCTTAGAATTCCTCTTTCAATTTTTGAAGTTGTTTTTAATCGGTAAAATTATATTTTTATAATGACATATTGACTTCCTTTCGAAAGTAAAATTACTTAAAAGTTATATATTATGGGGAAAAAGTATGAAAAATGCAATAATAAATTGTTTTCAAGCATATATAAAGGTTGAAAGTTTTCATCATAATCATTCATTATTTAAAAATATTATGCACAACGCAATCAAACTCGATAAAATATTAAAATTACTGCCAAATTTTTTCAGGGGGCCTGAAAACATCATAATATCGGTAAAAAAATTTACCGCCAACCGTAGATGTAGGGGAAAAGATACAAATATCGGAACAGCAACCCCACAAGCAACTGACTCCACATGATTGGCGTAATAGTATAGATACATTATATTAGGCAAAATGTATTTAATAACTGCCTGTTTTGTACATAAATTTACAACGAAGCTATTTGCACTGAGTGTGCTGGAAACGTATAACTTCAAGTGGCGCTTAAATTACAGAACCATCAAAATCCCTGAAAGGACACGACACAATTATTATCCAAAATTGAGGTAATAATCAAAGTCCATGTCGAGCTTTCCCTATCCTCTTAATTTCTTCCAGCGAGCTGCTTAACTGCAGTGAGGATTCAGCAAGTAGCCCCTCAAAATAGGCCCATTCTCTTTCAACGCTGCAAACAGAAACCCAGCCATTTCTGCCACGTCTGATCCTATAGCGCAGTTGACATTAATTTTCGATCACGTGATGAATGGTTCACTTGTCCCCTTTTTTCAGCTTTGCCTGTAAGCAAATCAATTAATGAATTTTTCTTTTCTGGTCAAGGAAAACAGACTTTTGTGTGTGGGTGTTGTTTCTATAGGGTCACACATTCTCCTGATATGGGAATGGACGGGTACAATCCATAAATTCAGCATAGGCATGGAAGATTTTGAATTTGGGACCTCTTAGCTTCAAATAGAATAACCACTCCTTACATTGCAGGGACATCGGATGCACAAGGCAATAGAACATATCAAGAATATTTGATTCTGTAAACACTGACCTTCATCTCTTCCCGATTTCCTTCGGCTGCGCCACAGAAGACGAATAGGTGTCCCCGAAAAACCAGCATCTGAACGCAGTTGCTTCTCCATATAACGGCGATAAGTCTCAGGAAAGAGTTTTGCATCATTGACAAAGAAAACAAACGTTGGCGGCCTTACAGCAGCCTGCAAGGGGACAAGTAAGGAGCTCATGACTAGGAGAGCACTAATTATTTTCATTTACAAGTTTTTGCCAGCAAAATAAACTTTTTTTATCGTCCTAAAAACTGTTAATAGTGATAGGTGGTCTACAACAAGAACCATAAAATGAAAGAACAGATGCAATTAAATCTGCATGATACAAATACCTGAGTACAATAGTAAACTCGCCCTCTTCTTCCACCTCGTGTCCTGGGGGGTGGTTTAAAAACCACTGCTTCTTGCACTACTTGATTCAGAATAGAAGTACCAAGTCGTCTTGATCTCTCCTTTTCAACTGTACTAGCAGCTACAATAATCCTTCATTCAGAACAACAATAAGAAATCAGCTATTCACTAAGGATAAACTGCAATGGAACATGATAAAACTGGATGCTTTTGAAAATAAGCATACCCTTCTACTGTTTGAACCTGAGAAACTAACACAACTTTAAGCTAATTATAGCACTAATGACAAGCAATGGGACCAAGATCATAGCCAGGAGAGGGGAAAAAAAAAAAAAAACCTGAAGACTGCCAATTTCTTCAGTCCATTCTTATGGGCGGGATTGCCCAAATATTCCCAGAAGTTGTTGGAAAAATGATTTAACATCTCAAAATTGTCCAGAGCCAGATGATGCGCATAAAATCAACATGAGGCTAAAAACTAACTAGAAATTGAATTTCAATAATATCTATAGCCTCTTTCACCATGAGGCGTTCAAGCTGACTACATAAAAATGATGCCACAATTGTTGAAGGCAACGGCAGGGAATTCAAAGCAGGTGTTATAATGGAGCATAAATGTGTGTCAATAATTTTCAAGCCAGCACATACTTGTCAACACTATGACCAGCTATTGCAGTAGAATAAACAATGGGAGCCCAGTTAAGTAAGCGGAGCTTCTCTCTGACATCTTGTTCATAGTAGGTCGCAGTCTGCTGGTTTTTATCTGGTATTGTATCCCACTTGTTCACAACTATCACACAACCTTTCCCTTCTCTTTCTATTCTCTCAGCTATCTTGCAGTCCTTGAATAAACATGCAAAATGAAGTCTGTTAAAAAAAATAATTTAAGAATTATGGACCAGTTGCTGGGAAAAAAGAAAAGAAAAGAATTATGGAACAGACATCCTTTTCCATTAAATGACTACATGCAGCAATGCCGCCAGTGATTATGACCCAGATAACATATAATGTGTCCTTCATCAAAATTTTCTCAAGGGGGAGTGGAAAAAGACAGAACTTTTGACATCATTAACATGCCATCAATTTACAGAGCAAGGAATAGGAAACTATGACTGTTATATATGAGGACAGTCATTGATAATAAAAAAATGTCTTCCCAACAACTAAACCCGGGCACCAGAAATCATAAAAGTTTCTTGAAGGTACCTGTTCCGTGATACAAGCCATAGCCTCAATGACAAGAGCAACAACATCAGAACGGCGAATAGCACGAAATGCTCGATTCACTGACAGAGCCTCTGTCACACTGCCTGCTGAGGCTACAGTTGCCCTTCTCCTGATTCCAGCAGTATCAATAAGGCGAAACTTCTGGAGGAAAAAGAATATAAAATTTTAGAATTCTAAAAGCCTTTACATTTAAATCAAGCTGATCCCAGCAATGACAAACAGAACATAAGCCCAATCTCAGTCTAGTTTTGATCCACAAATATCAAACCACATAAATCAACAATGCTGAATCACATCACTAAACAAGCGCATCAAGATATCATCAAAGGAAAACTCCAGAGTCATACCTGGCCATCTGCTCCGGTAAATTCAGTATCTATGGCATCACGAGTGGTGCCACTGACAGGACTGACTATTGTTCTGTCCTCACCCATTAACGCATTCAAAATACTACTTTTGCCAACATTAGGTCTACCTACAATTGATATTGCAGGAACATAATCTTCTTCATCAATTTTCTCTGATTCCTATAATTACCAATAATGATAAATAATTAAAAATCCAAAGTTACCAAAACAACATGAAAATGTCTGTAGCATGGTGGTCAAGACACCAATAAAGAGTAAGAAAGCTTCCAAGTCAATGCAATGATTTATGATTGGTGATTGCACAAAGGAGTTTGCTTATGACGCAAATACCACCTAAGTTTACCCTTTTGTCAATAGAACAATCAGAAGATAGCTCAACTCTTGATGTCCACAAACCTCAATTTTCTCCAGCCCTGAACATACAAGGTCAAGTAGCACTCCAGTTCCCGTCCCGGATATAGCTGACACAGGGATTGGTTCAAACCTGAACAGCAATTATGGAAACCATTCCATTAACAACAAACTGAGACACCTGAGGATACATCAAACTTCATATCTGCTAAATTAACAACAGGATTGAAGAACTCCACGTTCTCCTCTTTTGCAACAAAAAGCTTTCCTTAAATTTCTAATTAATATGAAATAAGATTATGGCGTCTTGATCACACACATAAATAGGACTTAACAACTTTGATCTACCTTGTGACTGGTGAAATCATTTGCCTCATTTTAATAAGTCATGTCATATAGAGTCAAAAACTTAGGGAGTAACACTAAATTTGAGCTCAGTAAGGTTCATTTAATATCATAACCATAAATTCAACATCAAAACCAAGCATACTGTAGACAAGTGTATAGTCATAAATATGCATGTCCAGAAAATATTAAAATAGGTGCAGATTCATCAAATAGGTTAATTGTCATGAACTCATGGTCATGTAAAAGTAGGTTTATGCCCATTCAGGCATGACCTAAGAAATTTAAGGCAACTTACCCGAGGGACCAAAATTCAGATGCCTGAATAATTCCTTTCCGTGGAGACTCACACTTGTTCACTGCAAGAATGACACTTTTATGGGAGTAGTTCTTACGTAACCAATCAGAAATCTCCACATCAGCTGCCATTAGGCCTGCCTGTTCAGTATAATCAGTGCTCATGTCTTCAGATCGTGGAAAGTATTGCTCATTGTTTGAACAAGCAAAATGATTTAGTCAATTAACCAAAATGATAAAAAATAACGAATCAATCAGATCATACTGATAAAAGTATAAAAATAATTAAAAAGAAATTGATATTGAACATTATTTGCTCGCTAAGAAAATTTATATTGAGTTCACCAAAAATTAAAAAATAAAAAAAAATTGATATTGAACACTATTTGCGTGCTATGTCATACTAGCTGGATGTACCTTATATAACCCTTTGCGAATGGTAAAATCAAACGAAACCAAAATACTAAAGAACTTCTACACAGCTTGACCCACCATACCGGGGTCTTGCCAAAGGTTAATAACGACGCCTGATTCTTATTGAAATATCAACAGACAAAATGAAAGGGAAAGAAAAGTAAGACATTGTTATGGAGGAGAAAGAGTAATAAATGATTTATATAAAAATACCTGGCCATCAACCAGGAAAATAATAACAGATGATTCTTCCACAGCTGCAGCAGCCTGTCTCTCAATCATTGAGGGCATCCTCGCAACGGCTGCCTCTCTGGAAGCAAGTGGAATACCATCCATACCAATGGTAGTAGAAATAGCCAGCTCTTCCATAACACCATCTTGTGATTTTGAAACAGTGAGAACTCCACCTGTGTCCACTACCATGAATTCATGGTCTCCCCAAAATGACCTACCATATAAGCGATCCCTAGTAACTCCAGGTTCATCCACCACAATGGCCTTGTTTCCCTAGAAGTTAGGGGCAAAGAAGACAGCTTTCACAATAAGTCGGCCAATAAAAGCTGAAGTTCAAAAAATGATTCCTTATAAATGAAAATTCTAGAGTCTGTTGAAAAATAAAAGTTAGAACGAGCATTCGGTACCCCAACAAGACGATTAAACAATGCTGATTTGCCAACATTTGGCCTCCCAACAATTGCAACCCTTGGAAGAAGATTGTCAGGGACCTGTCAGTCAAGGTGGGACAAGGTTTAGCAAGTAGCCAGAGTTTATTTCAACATCTTCACAAGGACAAGTTTCCTAGCCAACAACCAATCGAATACCGCCAGATTAATTTGAGTGTTTCGCATATTTTTTGGTATCTTGAGTTCTTTTAAAGTTTATGAAACACTTCACATAAACACCGTGATGGAGACAATACATCATCTCCGTGTCTCTCCTACATTTCAATGTTTAATCTTTTTCAGGGATCTGATTTGCCATCTTTAACCAATTTGTTCACGTCATACACCAACTTACGTTGCTTGTCCCGGCCTTACTCCTCTTCTGCATCTTAGCTGTGTCCTTGGGGTCGTCCTTCTCATCTTCTGAAATCAATAAGCATCAAAGACGATTAATGCACGGAAAAGAAAATTCAAGAAAAATTAACACCAATCGATGAGGATTCCTGAACAAACACGAAGGCCATCCGTTCAGGCGAATCAAAAAAGGGTCCCACAGTTTATTATTCCAAGTTGAATCGTAGTAAAATTCCTTGATTACTTTACGATGCAAATAAAGGCCATATTTTCAACAACTTGGGTTCGAATCACTCACCAATTGTCAAAACGCGAGACAAATAGTTAGAGTACTCTCGGACTGCGTCCTTAGCTTCTCGCTCAAACATTGTGACATCAACATCATAATTGTTGCTGTCAGAATAATCTCCTTCGTCTCTGTCCTCAAAATCCTCGAGCCCCTCTTCATCCTCTTCACAGTCGGCACTGCTACTGCCTGAGAGCTCACGGGCACAACAGGCCGGCGCGGAGGAGGTAAAATTCCGGCGAGAGATAAAGTAGGAATGGCGGCGAGAAAATGAGGAGTTTGACAGGGAAAGGACAGGAGGCGTGGAGGGGAAGAGAGGATGAGTGATGGGGATAGTGAAAATGGGGTTTAGGGTTTTAAAGAGAGTATAGGAAATGGCGGTAGGAGCGTGAAGTTGATGGAAAGCAAGCATTGCAGAAGCTCTATGGTGGGAATTGTAAGATAGAGGGATTTGGCGGCAACTCAGATGGCGGGGTAATGTCCGTATTCCTCATTCGTCAATCGGCGTTAAATCGTTAATAGAGCCCGTAATTCGCCGGGCCGGTTCGAGTTCGGGTCAGGTTTATTAGTTAGTCCGGATATATAACATACTACTTCTAGTGTCATAATTTGTTGATACAATTATTTCTTATATTTATTTATTTTTTAAAAATAATTATTAAATATTTTATTAAATGATAGTTTTAAGTAATACAAATGACTGGTAAGAGTATGTTAGAAAAAATAATATCTATTTATTACAAATAACTAACTTTACTAATTTTCTTAATCTATCCAAAATAATATCTGTTTATTAAGAACTGGATGTAATAGCAAACTATGAGGGGTTTGGATAAAAACCAACCAAAATACTGTTTTTAAGTGATCTTAGGATATCCCAAACACCTGTCATCTCATTCAAATCTAATTAAAAATCATTAATCAACTACTACTTCATGTCTTAATTATAAGAGTTAGTTGACTAATTTAAGGAGGTTAAGGAAAGAAGTTAAGTTAGTTATTTGTAATAAATATATATTGTCTTTTCTAAAATATCCTTACTAATCAAGTGTATTGGCTAGAACTACTATTATTAGAAGGATTATCTTGGAAAAAAATGTATAAATGTGAGAGACAAAGTAGATCGGGATCTTATATTTAGACCAAAATAAAAGTTAAACAAAATCTTATATTAAGAACCAAAGGTAGTATTACATATGAAACCTAAGGGTATATTTGCATCACGTAATAATATATAGGATATATAAATTTATTATTTGCTATAATATATTATATAAAGTTAAAACCATCTAACCCGGGGTTGTGGTTAAACGGTAGGGACTCATCCTCCCTTAATCAAGTGTCGAGGGTTCGATTCTCATCTTGAACATGAAAAAGCTTTAAAACCCGACGCTGGTGGATACTCTGATGTTTTATAAATTTTTTTTTAAATCCATGTATTATCTGGTGGCAAAAAAAAACCATCTATTATCATTTATTTATTACTATTTAGTAGTGAATAGTGATGCGATGTTAATATGTAAGATCATGATTATTATTCATTTCACCAAAGAAAAAACATATAAGATCGCATTAATTAATATACTATCTATTCACCAATCACCATATTTTGAAAATATTTTATATGACAAAAGTGTTAACTTATATTGGTCGGTTTTTTTATCTCCATAGTTATAGTTTCAGAAATTTGAGCAACAATTCAAAAGCAAATCTGCGAGATTAATTATCTACAAGATTATTTACAATAATCATCCGATCACCGATTATCATTTATTTAAAGCATATAAATAAATGTTGAGAAATTAAAATCAGAAAAATAATTAAGCTCGTATAGGGTCGTTATCAATTTTTTTACGATGGTGATTTAGTTGAACTGGGTTTTAGTTGATATAATTTAATGACCATCTTCTAGATATATACACGCGCGCGCACACAATCTTCTAAAAATGCAAAAAAGATCCTTATACTTTAAATTTTGAATAAAAAAAGAAATTGTTTAAAATATAAAATATAAATCTTCAATATAATCAGGTACCTATTCATTCTGTATCAAATCCTTAATCCGATTTTACCCTAAACAAAACTCAAGCCATTTAATTAAATATCACTTCCTTTGGGGATAGAATTCTGTGATCCCTTCATATTAACAAAAGAGTAATTTAATAATTAAGAGATAAAAATATATAATGTAATGGTTAAGATTCTTCCGATTTTCAAACAAAAATATAATTAAACATTTTACTTAATTACTCAACATAATTAACCTTCCACGTATCCACTATATGTACACACACATAGGTTTAAAGTATGAGATTAATTTATTCTCACATCTGCGTTAAGTGGTTTGGAAAACTATACCTCTTGTTTTTCTGCTGCGAATACGAGAGAATTGAATCTCTTGGTGTTACATATATTGCAACAAGAGATCAGAATCAAAGTTCCTCCATGGCTGAAACAGCGAGAATGATTGCCACGGCGTTGCTGGTGATGATGGTGGTGGCAACTTCTCTGTATTTGGCTCATACTTATTCTGAGTCTGATGCTGGCTTCGTCCATAATGCTATTTCTTCTCATAAGATCGTCATCTTCTCCAAATCCTATTGCCCGTATGTATTATCCCCTTCTCTCAATCGTTAACAACATGAGGTTATAAGTGAAATTAAAGGAAAATTTGGTAAAAAATCTCTTTTTGAAATTTTAATTGACCAGAAGGATCTGATTTGTTCAACTGCAAGTATAATCCGTAAGTACAACATATCATCCGCTATGTTGCACACAACGGATGATATGTTCTACTCATAAATCATACTTGTACTTGCACAAATCATGTTCTTCTGCCTAATTAAACTTTCAAACAGGAATTTTTTACCAATTTTTCCTGAAATTAAACTCACAGCATGCATCCTATTTACCGCCTAGGAATTATATGCCAGTAGATCACACGAACGTTCACAGGTTTAGATTTTGCATAGCTTTTTTTTTTATATCATGTTCATTTGGTTGGAGAAATCCAATTTGTAGTTTTTTAACTAGATGGTTATTGTCATGTCACATTATCTGTCTAACCAGTAAAACGTCATCCACTTATACAGGAATCTCATTTTATAGGTTTTTTAATTAAATGGTTATTATCATGTCGCATTGTTGGTGGTCACAAATTGTGATTAAAACATTATTGCTTCATTTAGGTCATGATGATTGCTAATGTGTCATTATCGTGTATTAAACATGCTCTTAATAAAAGCGCATATCAAAATGGATAAATGAGATATTTCGAGTGAGAAAGATGATTATTACATAATTGATAATTGCATTACTTCCCATTCAATGATTATTACATTAATTAATGTGATTCATTCGTATTATAGGTTGGTATTCACATCCTCGGATTCATATTGAATATTCCTCCAGTCCTTCATATAGGATTAATTGAGGATTTGATATTGGTCCTATATGTAAAACTTATTTTACATGTTTATTAACATTTTCCAAATTAACCCTATTGATATTCTCTCAATAATTTAACTAATATTTTTAATCTATTAAAATTAGATAATTGGGTCTTATGTTAAGGATTGAATGAATAATTAAGAAAAGAAAGTTACAAAAACAACTAGCTTGATAAAAACTTCATGAACAGATCATTAAGCAGACACATTATCCATGATATTATATATATGCAAAAGAATATTTCAATTTCAACATATTGGATATGAATATAATGTTGGGCAGAAAACTAAATGTATTATTGCTTTAGATAAACTTAATTAGCAATTTTTTTTTATGAAAAAATAACGTGAGAGAGAGTTTGCATTGTGGGTGTTTCTAATTTAATTTAATTTAATTTATTATTAATGGTAAATTCAGGTATTGTAGGAGAGCAAAAACTGTTTTCAAACATTTGAACCAAACACCACATATTGTTGAGCTTGATGAAAGAGGTACCTCTACACTTAATTACTTGCTCTTCTTCATTCCTTTTGATATGCGACGTACAATCATATTAGCAAATCTGATCCAGCTATCACTTTTGTGCTGTAGAGGATGGGTGGAAAATTCATAGCAAATTGAGCAAAATTGTTGGAAGCCACACTGTGCCACAAGTATTCATTAATGGAAAGCATATTGGAGGTTCTGATGGTAATTCTATATTCTCTCATCTCTTAAACTTCGTTAATTAGTTGAGATTCTTTAGTTGGCTAAGAGGTTAACTAGTTGATTACGGAATATCAAAATAAATAATAATTATAGAAGAAAATTAGTACTTTAGATGAAATATTATACTACATTCGATCCTTAATATAAGAACTTGTTGACTAATTTGAGTAGATTAAGAAAATTAATTAAGTTAGTTATTTGTAATAAATAAGTGTTGTTTTTCTTAAAATATCCTTACTAATTAAGTATATTGACTAGAATTACCATTGTTATATGAAAATGGATAGATCTTATGAGAGATAAAGTGGATTGAGGTCTTATATTTATGATCAAAATAAAAGTAAAACAGACTTTTATAGTAAAGACTGGAGGTAGTATATGCTATCTCCGGTTCTTAATACTCCTCCGGTCCTAATTATAAGACCCAATTGACTTATTTGAGGAGATTAAGGAAGTAAGTTAAGTTGGTTATTTATAATAAATAAGTGTTGTCATTCCTAAAATATCCTTACTACTTAAGTATATTGGCTAAAACTATCATTATTAGAAGGATTATCTTGAAAAAAAATGCATAAATATAAGAGATAAAATGGATTGGGGTCTTATATTAGGACCAAATAAAAGTCAAATGGGGTCTTATAATAAGGACCGGAGGAGTATAAGACTTAGTTGACAAATTGCGGAGATTAAGAAAATTAGTGAAGTTAGTTATTTGTTATAAATAGGTATTATTTTTCCTAATACCCTACTAATCATTTATATTAGCTAGAATTACTATTTAATGAAATATTTAACATATGCAACTACTACAATGCTGCTTCAAAAAAAAACAAATAAATATGAAAAAAAATAGATTGGGGTTTTATATTTAGATAAATTAAAAATTAAAAATTAAACAAACTTTCATAATAAGAAACGGAGGTGTATATATTAATGGCTATGAATGTCGTCTTATAATAAAGATGAAAGTGACACCAACACAGAATTGGTCTAGCTGTGTAGAATCCCGTTAATCCCTCTATGTCTAAGTCTATCTCCTAGAGAAGATACTTATGCATGGAGGGGTAACCACATACCCTAAATTGGATTAGTTGATTTTTGCGTTGAATGCCAAATATATGAAAAAAGAAGATGAAAGTGGGCTTTTACTATATATTGTAAACAATATTCAAAACTTTCAAACTAGTCATCTAGTCGATTTTCAAGTTCCTTTTTTCTTTTTTTTTTCCTATTCGATTTATTTGAATTTGTTACCAAGATTGTTAATTCTTCTCATACTAACAATTTTCAGATACTATTGCGGCCTATGGGACTGGAGAATTAGCTAGGCTTCTGGGAATTGCGTCCAAGGATTGTGATGACAATGATCTTTGAATTTTGATCATTATTATATATAATGCCAACTTATATATGTAACATATATATATATATATATATAGTTTTAGTGCTTACTTTAGATTAGCTAAAATTCTGATGCTATTAATTTTTTTCCCCAATTGCTCCTCATGTTATGTTATCACGAGAATATGTTTTTACGTTCTTTCTTGCAGAATGTATTATTTTATCCAATAGAAATTTTGGATAAATTTTTTTTGGATCAACCCCTAAAAAGAAAAACAAAACAGTTCGACACATATCTCTAGTATGTGTATTGGCTAAGGTTCAAATTTCTGCATGTAACCAAAATATTTCCTAAAATAATTGCCCTTTTGGTCTTTTTATAATACATACCAGAAAATTATTAATTAATTTTGATTACAGTAAAATTTAATATATTTTTAACAAAATACCGTTGCCTTAAATATTCTTTAAATGTATTGTTAGAGTATATTGACATATTAATAAAGGATATAGGTTAAATTAAATTCAAATAATTTCTTTTCATAAAATTATATAATTAAATTACATCAAAGTTTATCATATAAACTATAATCTATTTTCATAATCATTCTATTAATATAAAATAATAAATCAATAAAAATATATATCAGATTTAGAAATTTTTTCTAGCATAAAACAAGAATATGTTTACATTAAATGCAAAATAATATTTTTTTAAAAATATAATAAAGTAATAAATACTAAAAAAAATGGGCTAACTCATGGGTCAGTGGGTGGCAGCTGAAAAAAATTGCTTCCAAATAAGCTCTGATTTTGCCAACCTATCACTTTTTAAGCGGTTGATGAGTTTGACTTGACTTGAAAATTTGAAGTGATAAATATTGGAAAAATAGCAAACACTTTTAATTCACAACTATTTTAAAATAGATAACTTATGCGAACCTATGGATGATTTAACCAACTGATGAAAGTTTATTTGAAACAATTCTTTTATTCATAACTTCGAATTACTGAATAGTTAACATCAATCGCTCTCATTTGAGGCATTCTAGTCATGAAAAGCTGTTTTAAAATGTAAAAATAAGAGGCTATCATGGCATGCATGACTGACTTGTGCCATTAATTTCTAACAGTGTAAGTTAAACTTCTCGAATTTATTATCACCATCACCATTGGTGAAAATTATTATTGATCACTGTGGTTGGAAATTTTTTTTTTAATGTAAAGTTGGAAATTTTTATTCATAGGGTGTGAGAAGATTTATGTCCTTTTCTTCTCATTCAATAAATGAATATATTTATCAAGCTTGGACGATGGATACTGTGTGGGTATAAAGTATACATAGCTTTGAATCCTGAGAAGCATTTTTTTTTGCTAAAACATAGGTATCCTCCTATTGGAGACAATCCTATTTGAGGTATTGTCAGGCACTAAATGTGGGCATCTCTCCCAGTGGAGATTCGAATCTTGATTCATCATATTGTGAGGGACTAGTCTCTTCCACTAGATCCAACCCTAGTTGGTCTGAGAAACATATTTATTAAGAAGATTTTAACCTTAATATTTTTGGATCGACAGATATTAGTATCAAGCCCAAGCCTAAAGTGGTTAAAAAAGGATGGAGCTTCAAAAGATAATTGGAATCACCGAACTGTGGGCTTATAGTTGGGCCTTGCACTTCAATCTGGGGCCCATTCTCTGTGATCGTCATTCCTGTGCAAATTTGTTGTGGGCATTTGAGGTGAGTCATGGCATCTGCGAAAAAAATGGAGGAGCATGGAGTTGCAGGATCACGAAGCAAAAAGAAGAGGAAGTCAAGGTCTTCCACAAGCAGCCTTCAACTTCAATTTGATGACATCAATACCGTCTTTGCTCTGTTACTCGCTTCCTTTTCTCAACGTCGCAAACCCAACTCTCTTTCCTTAGTCAAGAAATGCTTAAGAAAAATTCGCACTTGTCTTCTCTCTCTGAAATCCATTTCAGACCTATTCTTGCATTGCTTCCAACTCTTCTCAACTCCAAGTAAGCTTCCTATTCCTCTCTGTCGAATTTGTGCTTTGCTGGCTTGAAAAAACTGCTCCAAATTGTGTTTGAGTGGTTCTTTTATGCATGTGTGTATGTTTTGTTTGGGTTTTGCACTTTGCAGATGTCCTGAAATTGGGTGCCGCGGCGCTGAAATTGTGGGCGCCGCTTCGCTTGCTTCTTTTGACATGAACAATGAAATTGCGTCAGATTGTGAAACTTTGAAGTGTTTAATCTCGCTGTTGGGAAGTTCGAAGAGAGCGGTTCTGTTGTCTGCCTGCAATGCTGTCTTGGACTTGTCTACCACCAGTTTTGGGCAACAGCAGCTGCTGAAATGTTCTGCCTTGGAAAAACTCATGTAAGCATTAACAATTATGGCCATTCTTTTTCCAATGGTTATATTCCTTCGCTCTTATATGTGAAAATGGGCCACTGGTTCTGGTTTCGTTTCAATTAGCAATTAGCCCTTGGCAGGATTTTCTGTTTGTGTGATTGTTGGGAAATGGAAGGGGGGAGGGGAATAGATTTTTTTCGAACACATAAACTTTGTTCTTTTTCTACTTTTCGGCGACGGGAAGTGTCTGTCCTTACTGTCATCAGGTTCTTAAATTGAATAAGTACATATGGAAGAATATAGGTGCTGAGCTATGAAAAATGTGGGCACACAATGTTTTGTTAGAGAATCCGACAGCAGATAGTTAAGAAACGTCACCTAACTTTTTGTTCTATGTAGTGTTTAGTTTATGCATTCAAATTCACAGAGTTGTTATTCTGGTAATTTGTGTACTACAGGCTTGAGGTTCCGTGGTATCTTTGATCAAATTGAATGAATTGTCATTTCTGCCGATTTCTTATTACATATTTCAATCGCATAAATTTGATTTGTTTTTGAATGATTAAATTATTTGAATCCTTTTCATGAGACGTAGTGCAAAAGTAAACTCTAGTATATCCATGTGCCATGGGAGTACCTCTGATACTTTCATTTGAATTATTTTGTATATTTTCCACCATGGTTATGTCAGAAAAAGCATCTTAGGCATAAAAACTTTCGATTCTGGATTGATGCAACCTTTTTTTTTTCCGCCTGATGTTGAATTATTAAAAGTATTTGTTTAAATAACTAAACAATTGACACTCTTCAGGTTCGCATTTATTCAGCTACCCAAATTTTCAAATTCTGTTTCCTTGTGGCCTGAGGGCAATGGAAGTCTCCACTGTCCTAAGATAGGGATGGGTGAACATTATGAAACTTCAGCGGCATTCCTTAGTGCAACTATTATTCTTATTAATGCATGTAATGCTGAGCAACTACAGAATATCCCCGTAAGCCTTTGTGAAGCATTCTTGGCCCTTCTAAAAGAGCTCTGGGCAGAAGTAAGTCATCAAATGGCTGTCAAAGGTGCTATAAAAGTTAATGAAGATGGACATTATTGGAAGAGCAATATTGAAGTTAATAACCTTGCAGAAGCTATATTTAGGATTTCCATTTATTCTTGCTCACCGACTGTGGCTTTACCATTTGAAGTGGTTAAAGGAAGTCTATTTGGTACAAGTGAATCTAGTTTTGAAAATTTATTTCGAACCAGTGGGAATTTTCACCCTTTCTTCTGAAAAATTTGTGAAGCATTCTTGGCCCTTCTAAAAGAGCTCTGGGCAGAAGTAAGTCAAAGTAATGATGATGACATTATTGGAAGAGCAATATTGAAGTTAATAACCTTGCAGAAGCTATATTTAGGATTTCCATTTATTCTTGCTCACCGACTGTGGCTTTACCATTTGAAGTGGTTAAAGGAAGTCTATTTGGTACAAGTGAATCTAGTTTTGAAAATTTTATTTCGAACCAGTGGGAATTTTCACCCTTTCTTCTGAAAAAGACATCGAACAATCTAAATGTGAATGATATTTTTAGTCCATTCCTACAATCTCTTGGGTGGACAGGGAATGATCCTTCTCTTCTGTCATCAATTCTTCAAGGTCTAGTATCTTGTTTTCCAATTGCCTCAGATGAACAGGACATCAACAATTTTTTGAGTGAGGTAAAAGGTAAACTGGGTTGTCCTATTGCTTACCATCAGGATATTCGAGTTGTTAAGACAGAGAGGCACTCAGGAAAAGAGATGCATTACTTTCAGCAGTTTAATTCGGGCTGCCCAAGAGAACCTTATTATTTTACTATAGATGATGTCTTGAAGTGTGGACAAGCATATAAAGAAGGATATACGGTTGCACTGCGTGGTTTAGAGTTTCGCTATCAAAGCATTGCTGCTGTTGCTGATGAATTAGCAGTTATGTTTGGGCAACCATCCGCAGGTGCTAATTTGTACTTGACACCACCTAATTCTCAGGGTTTGGCATGTCACTTCGATGATCACTGCGTATTTGTATGTCAGCTTTTCGGTTCCAAGCAGTGGACAGTATTTTCTCAATCTAGTCAGCTGTTACCTCGCTTGTATGATGAGCTACATGGATCTGATGTTAACTGTACAATGGCTGGTGGCAGAGAGTTCTTGCTCAGAGAGGGTGACGTATTATATATTCCCAGAGGTTTCCCTCATGAAGCATATACTAAATCTGGCTGTGATGATGTTTCTTCTGGGTTTTCTCTGCACCTCACCTTTAGTGTTGAGGTTGAACCACCATTTGAGTAAGTAAAGTTTAACTAATGCTTTTAACACGTAACAATATATTTGATTGTGATTTTTTGAGTCATTAAGGTTCCCTTTAATTTCTTATGGTTAAAAAGTTGTAAAGCTTGTTGTGGCCCTTTATTTGATTTCATTTTCCTCTTTTATTCTTTTCTTTTTAGAAAGGTGGAGATTGTGATTTTTATGGTGTTCATTCTTCTTTTGAAGACAAGGATTGATTGAATGATGCCCAATGTTGTGTGGTAAACTCAACTTTGTATGTGCTTCCTCTCCCATGTTCCTGTAGGAATGTACATAATTTTACACCATCTTTACACCCTCATCTCTTTTCTCTTTATCTCTCATGTAATATTTTCATTCACCATCAGAGGATCCACACTGGGGATTAATTATGATTTCACCTTTACTTCTTGAAAATATGTCCAATGCCATTTCTGTCTACTTTTTCCCCCATGGTAAATTGTAAATTTTGTTCCAACAAAATAATAATCTTCACAGTCATGTCGATCCTCTACTGTTGGTAAGCATGCTTGATTCCAATATTCCCCAGTCAAATCAGTACTGTCATATTAATGGCGATGTCCTTGTCCACATTCAGCCAAAGCAAGTCCAGCTTTGACTAATTAGAAGTAGCATGCTTCTTTGGCCCGCGAAGTAGAACCATAGAAGTTTGAATTGTTGATGATCACGTGGGGTAGCCCACTGATTGAACCACTAATACTGCCGGAGAGTTTGGTTTGTTGTAACATCATAAATTCTTGCAGAAGCAACATTTTATTACCTCTGAAAGCTTAGTAAAAGACTAATGTTTTATGGGTTTCCTTGACTAATTCTCAATATTCCATGATTTCAAGGAATGCAAACTTATAGTTTGGACGTTTAATTATCTATGAAAACTCCTCTCACGCAAGCATATTTTTTTTCCCTTGACTCTTTCTCCAATCCAAATTTGTCTTGTATTTCCTCCATCCGTAATTATAAGCAAATTTTAACGTTTCACAATTCTTTAGAAAGTTTGTTAATCTTCATAATTATGTTTCAGATTGAATTTTTTTTAAAACTGAAATGCCCATGTTATTAATGTTTAATTTTGTTCCTGCCTTAATGGCAGTCATTTAATGAGGGTCAAATTGAGAAACATCTCTTAATTGCACATGAAATTGGTGGTTTTTGCTTATAAGACCAAAGGACCGTGCTAGAGATCTGCTTATAATTAGGGACGGAGGGAGTAATGTGTAGTGCTCTTTATTGGCCAGAAAAAATAATAAAATAAAATAAAATCTTATGATTGATGGCTTTCTTGGAACAGAGAACTGAAACAATGCATGTGAAGTGACCCACCCTAAATCAATCATTAAATTTAGACATTAGTGTCCATGAAACAATGGGACACGCACTCAGACTTTGTGTCTTTGGAAAGCTGATTCATGGACCAGCATTATGCTATCATTTTGATAATGGTGCCTATGTCAATTATAATCCATCTTATAAAGAAGAGTACTATATTATCAATATTTGATCGTGCTCCCAATTGAAGAATGGGGAGGATTTGAACTTCAGAAAGAGTGTCTTGTCATATAAAAAGTGGGATTTCATTATGTTTGGTTAATGTGGGTCAAGTTATAGCTCGTTTATATTTATTTGTTTGTTTATTTAGAAGGACTATCTAATGATTAACTCTCCCTGTCGTTTGATGGATTATTTATTTTATTCTGTTTTTTTTTCCCCCTTTTGGATTTGTGTGATGACTTGGTCACAAGTTATTTCAACTTGGCTTTGGTCCTTGATATTTGAAACATAAGTTTTCTTTCGTAACAGATTTTTGCGTTTTCTCTCTCCTCTTTCTCACCGTTTTTTGCATCTGATTCCAGTGGAGTTCGTGAGAGAGGGAGAGAGAGAGAATTGAAGAGCTTGAACAGTCTAATGGCTTGGCATATATACTAATATTTTGTGCTAGTCGAGCAACTATGATCTCTGTAAATGAAAGATTCAAAGATAGTACTTGTGATTCAAAATATGGCAGTCATTTATTAATTTTTGTATACCTGCAATGGTTAAAGTATATATTGGTATCGCTAATAATTTATATATTCTGTAAAACACAGATGGGAAGGATTTGCTCATTTTGCACTTCATCGCTGGAGTGAAAACCAGGAGAGACGTTTTGATGATGACTGTATATCTTGGTCCCAAAAGCTTGATCTGGTTTCTGTGAGCTTATTACACCTTGCTATTAAGATCATTAGTGACTCTGATCCTACGTTTCGGAAGGCGTGCTTGGCTGCAGCAAATTCTCTGCCACCACATGTTTGTAATTGGCTTGCTCATAATCAGAAAAACATTTTTTGCCATGTAATTGATAAAATTCACACTGAATCTAGGTTCTTGGAGGTGCTGAGCAGCTTAGAGGCTGCAATTAAGAAAAATGAAGATCCTTATCAACGAATCAGATGGCTTTGGTTTCTCCATCCAAAAAGAGAGTCTTCCAAAAGATACGATCTTGATCAATCTTTTATGATTGAAGAGCTCCTGTCTTTATGTGCTTGGCACCAGAACGAAGTAGAAGCTGCTTTTCTAGGTGTCAAGTCCAGGTTTTGTAGTGACGTAGTGTATGAGAATATAATAGCGGGTTATGTGGTCTTGCTTCAGAAATATAGGAAGACTAGAGAGCAATATAGCAATGGAATGATTTCGCTACATGATAAATGCTAGAGTAAATTACATGGACCTCCTTCAGTTTTGTTGAAATCATAGACTTCCCTTCTATTTTTAAAATATAATTAATCCAATTTTACATTTTTTGCCTAATATATCATCCATTGGCCTAAACACACAAAATATGTGTATACTTATAAATATGCACAAATAAAAAATAGGAGTCTATCTTGTGTCTGTACATTTAACTAAAAAAGATATTTTCAGGCTAATGGAGGGCATTTTAGTGAAAAATATCAAATTTAAAAGTGGATTGAGATATAATAATATAATATAACTTTTAATTTTAGGAGAGGTATGTACATTTTGAAAATTGTGCAGAGTTAATCTCAGGAAAATTGATGGGATGTTGTGTAATTTATTCTATTCTAACGTTTTTAAGTGCTTCCATTTCTACTGGTTGAGCCAAAATATGTCATATCTTAATTGCCTGGTGAAATATGTCTGACATTTATAGTTGCTTGGTCAGCCAACTCATCCGATTTGATTGTTCTGTAAGCCAAGGGCTTCAAGGAATTCTATATATCACTTCGTTGAGCAAAAGCATAAGCCTTGGAACAAAACTTTGTTTTCTACCCCACAAAATACAGTGCATTCATATAGAGATGAGAATTATCATAGAAGTGATGGAAAATTGCATAAATCTCTCTCCTAGGAAAATTAAAGCTGCAACCTTATGGTTTGGGATGTTTAGGAGTTGGATGAGTTGTTACTCCATGGTAATCTGTGTGGTAGACAAGATCATGAGGACTGCTACTGTTGCTTGTATACTCTAGTGCCATGGAATCATCCTCAGCAGAGGAGCTTTCCATTACCTCATCTGCTACCTGCATTTAATGTCCCCCAAATTAAAGGAATTAGTGGAGATCATAATCTAAACAGTAGGAAACAGCGGAACAGATGCTCCGACAGGTATGAGTAGCAGCATAGGGGAAAGGGTACAAATGAAGAATTTTAATACGCCTTGTAAAATTGCTGTATCGTTCTATCAAAGTTCTGATCTTATCTTACCATCACTGACTCTTATGATGGATTGTGGTCTGATCACAAAAGCGAACAATTATGATATTACCTTCCCTTGACAGATTTATGGGTTGGAGCAAATGTTGAAGAAAGGAGATAAGTATTGGATCATGCCGTTTTAAGAATATGCTGCATCATACTTTGTTCTGATCTTACCTTGCAATCGACTCTATTATGTAGGATGACTAACTGGGGGAAATACTTACCTTGATTTTGTGATATTCATGCTGAACAACAGGGATTGACATGCTTAACTTCCGTACTGGTTTTGGCATAACACCTAGGGAGGGGCTTGTGTGATGGAAGAGGAAATATAAAGCCGCTGTGAGGAGACAACAGAGGAAGAAGTTGGAAGTGTTCATCGTATTGTCAGTCTGGAGGTTTGATGCCCTTGAAATCCTAACTTGTTTCATCACTTTAGCACTATATATAGAAAATCACTGGAGCTCTTGTCAGAAGTAAGTGATGGGGGAGAGAGAGAGGGCTAGCAATTATTGATTAAGGAACCGGGGAAACATGTTTCAACCTACATGCCCTCGGTTCTGCTGCATATGTGGGACTAACATCTCTCTCTCTCTCTCTCGCTCTCTCTAATATGTGGGTTCGTAGTATTCCTCCTCTCGCTATCAGGTAATAGGGAAAGGTAGATGCTTTTTTATATTACAGGAGCAGGTAAATTAGAAATTTTTGGATCACGTGTATGTCTCATGCCAAAAAAACCAGTCATCTCAACCCATGTTTTGTCTTGGACAATAAGGACTAGGTTCTGATCCCTAATCCTTTGGTTGATATTGCTGCAATCTCATATCCTCTCTAGGTATGTTGTACATTTCGTTGTCATTTGAGGACACTTATTGATGGCTATTGTTAAATCAAGGGTCATACCTTGGAATCCTTCATCCTCTTTAACTATGGGATATCCCCTTGTACCTTAGTTTTGTTGCTCTTCGTTTTGTAGCAAAATCAAGCTGATGTTTGGCATCCAAAGAAGCATTTTCTTCAATTGCTTTCTCCATTCCAAATGTTTTGAGCTATCAACTGAATTCATTCTAGCTTTATTATGTTGTCTAGTACAGCTACTCACACAAAAGCAATGGTTTATTAATTGAGATGCAAGATTTTTCATCTCAGTTCAAAGTTTTAACTTTTGAAAGAAACTTTATTACCCATTAAAGTCCTTGTGTCAATTAAGTCTAAATCAGAACCTGAGAGTCATACAACCAAAGTAGTTAATTCATTGCACCTATTTCTCCATGTTCATCATGATATATGCTCCTTATCTTCAAAGGGATGTGACCAGCAATCTAAGCAAACCCCGCCAATCCACACCTATTTTACTATTTAAAGCTGCATCAATCTGAATAGTTTGGGTCTACATGGGCCAAACTAGTTGTAGCTTAAGGCAACACAATAATACAATAACATGAGCCCTCATGGTCACAAGTGTACTAATTACTCAACTACAAGGAATCACGCCCCTTATTCTATCAATAAACAAGCTAATGTCGTATCATAAAACTAAAACCTTTTTATCTTCCATTGCAAAAGTAGATGACACAAGTACTTGCATGCTAACCACTTTATTCGTTTATTGATGAAAATATTGATGTTTAACGACTTAACGTGTACTATTTAATGCTTATAAATAAGTTTGGAAAAATCATTGATTAGTTTCACATCAGCAATTAATTACCGAAAATCTCGCAATGAGTAAGCAACATGATAATGACAAAATCTAGTACAAAAAATGATAACAGGTTATGACATAGTGACATATTGACAACTTAGTGAAATTTTTTAGTAATTGGATTGTCATGTGGGACTGCACAATAACTTTTCTAATAAGCATTAACAATGGCCTTTTGTTTTATTTTTTATTTTTAAATAAGTTACAAACTAAACGGAATCACCTTGTGACTAATGTGTAAATAACGTTGAAAGTTAACTGAGTTAATATGAGGAAAAATCTTACAATAATTAGCATAAAGAAAAGTTGTACCTGTACTTATAAGCGCGTTATGTGACAATTTTTTTTTTTTATATACTTATCTTGCATACTATAAATTGTAATTAAAAAGCTGTCGATAAGTCATTTTAAATTGCCCTAAACAGATTAATATGCTTAAAAGATGAATTGACTAGCAAATAGGGGCCAGAAATGAAAAACCACATGAAGCTGGGGGTGCTAAAAATTAATTTTAATTTTGTTCACAAATGATAATAAACTAACTTTCAACGAAATAGGCGCCCCCACTTACTCCCATCCCATGGATCCATCATCGATAACCTAATTAGCATATGATGTCTCCCTAAGTTGAACGAAGGTTCAAAGGCCTAGAAGGATATCTCATCCAAGACAATCTTAACATATGCCCCCGTCCGTTGACTCAGTCAACAAGACTTGGTCTCTCCAAGAATGTTCTTACAAAGATACAAACACCGCATAAACCCACATGACTTGAGGAATCAGTGCCACTTGCCCACTTCATTGATCACAAACAACAATAGATGTAGTTTTCAATAATGTAACCTTTTAATTCTAAAAGCAGCAGTTTGCCTCTCATTTGGGTAAGACCCTTCTGCCCTATTTACAGGGCAATTAAAGGACAAAGAGAGTCCGGGGGTGGGGAGAGAGTATTTTTTGCTTTTTAATATAAGTCATTTTATTAAATTTATTATATGGATATAGCATAATTTTGATGCCTAATTTATTGTTTTATAAACTGTTACTAATCCAATCTTTGCCCTTTAAATAGGATTAGAGTGGTTTTTTTTTTTGGGAAAGTATTAAATAGGAGTAAAATTATTAAATTATTAAATTTTAAAACAGAATTAATGAAATTTAAAATTTGTCTTAACTATGATCAAACATGTCTAAAGTAATATTCTTCAACACACGTTGAACTGTTTCTTGTTGAACATTCAGCAACTTAAAATGTCTTCAGTATTGTTCACATCATGGAAACGCCAATACATATGTGAGTCTCTGGTCCAAGTCTCAATATAACAGCAGCCCATTCAATTATTGTCTCTGTCTTTCTCCCTCTCAGGTCACATTAGTGTTAAACTATCATCATTGGTGTTGTGTTATTGTCAACTAATCAGTTTTTGTAGCATTGAATTAAGGTTAATAATTGTCTAACCTCGTGGCGGGTTAGGTTAGCTAGTGGCAGAAACACACTTATATTATTCGTGGTAGACATTGTCACAAGTTGGAACTATTATTTTGGCATTTTTCAAGGACTGGGTTAACTGTGACAATTAGATTTAGAAAGTTATTAGTTAAAATACATGCAACTCACATGTTGGCCTTTAGTGCTTTAATTTTATATAAACTTTCAGTTTGATCTCTTAATTTTATAAAATATCTTTTTAATTTTCTAAACCTAATATTGTTGGTCCCAAATGATGATTTTTTTTTTGCTCCAATTATTGTTATTTTGAGAAAATTAAACTTAGTGTGTTAGAATTTGTAAATATTTTGTCAATATTGAAAATTTTAAGGTCAATATTTTTAATGAAACTAACGATATTATAGTTATAAGACTAAAAACATTTTTATCAAATTAAGGAATAAAATAAAATCTTGTGTGAAATTAAAGGACTAAAGATGAATTTTTTTCCGTCAATTATTTCTTAATTGCAATGCACAATAACAAATAGTAATAATATTATATCACGCACTTTTGACAATTAATCAAAATCCCACCTTATTATATAACCCATTTTTCATTCGTAACAATCACACCCATTATGTCTGAGTTAATGCCATCTAATTTTGATGTTTTCTATCAAAGAACCTAATAATAAACATAAATATATAGAACTTCAGTTTTGTTTTAAAATTAAAACTGATAATCGATATTAATTCAATAATATGTGTAATGAAGTGCATTATCATAATTTCAAATATGTCTTAACTACATGAAAATGCCTCAAAATTTGGTTTATAAATAATTTTTGTGGATTCTTTATCCTAACAAATAAGGAATTTGCGTTGACGAAAGAGGATCAATATACCAAATGAAAAAATTATACACATCTTAATTATTTACTAAGCTTTACATGCATACTGCACGATGTGTTTTTCCTTTTTCTAAACGTAAAATTACTTAATTTTTATATTGAGAATAATAAATTTCAGTTTAAGAAAAAATCGGCATTACTTTGTTTGTGTTTTATCAAATCATATTTTGTAGTTCAGAGATGATTCATTTATATACGTATATAGGGAATATTTTTTCGAATTTTAATAAAACCTCAGTTTTGTTTTAAAATTAAAACTGATTTAACCTCACTGATATTAACTCAATAATATGTGTAATCAGTGCATTATCATAATTTCAAATATGTACTAACTATATAAAAATGTTTTAAAAATCGACATTAATTGGTTTTTGTTTTATCAAATCATATTTGGTTGTTCAGAGATTATTCATTAATTATATGTTTTTGGAATAAATATTTGGACATCAAGTGAAATTTAAGTTTAACCGAACATGTATAACAAATAAGATTTCCATAACTTATTTATCTTTTATATGTTATTGCTAATTTTCTTATTACTAATCATTGATTCTTGGATATTGATGGATTGAGTTAGAGATAAAGCAAAAGGATTGAATTGAAACCCACCAAACAAGGCACTATAGTATCACAAGAAAGTACTAGGAAAGTAGACACACAGGAAAAATTGGATTAAGAATTGGAAAAGTCAAACATTTTTATGTCACTAAATAAGTTTTTGGTTTCCTAAAAGGCTCACAATTCTATGGTCTAACGCATTTGTTTTCTTATTCTACTCCTTCCTCCTCCTTCTCACTAAATTATTCCATTAATATTATACAAGTCCTTATAACCACTATAATTAATGTTAATTACTTACTCTATGTCAAAACTTCATTTTTATTTATTTTTTCTTGATAGCCCACCAATAACTGATTGAAATTGAATCTCCCAAGACCAAACCCAACAATAAGATCTGTACTAAATCGCGTCCTTTGTATTTTTATTCCCATAAACCCTATAACTTTCCCCTTTGAACTATCTTCTTCTTCTTCTTCATCTCTCTCTCTCTCTCTCTGATCTCTATCTGTGATTCTCTGCCATGGAAGATGATGGGACGATATGCAACACAAGGCTGAGTCTAGGGCTTGGAATAGGAGGCTATGTGATGCCATTAAAGGAAGAGAAGTTTGAAGAAGCCATTGTCCATAATCATGATCAGAGAGATTTGATCAGTTTGAAGACCAGAATCGATGAAGAAGAAGATGAAAAGAGCGATCATAGGAATAGTTGCAGAAAGAAATTGAGACTCACCCAGGAACAATCCGCCATGCTTGAAGATAGCTTTAAGCTCCACAGCTCTCTCAACCCAGTAAGTCTATCGATATATGTGTGTGTGTGTGATCATTATAGTTTCATTTCTTTCTCATCTGTACAGAATCTCTAACCCAGATTCAGGTTCTGATGATCATAAAGTACGATTCTTGATGAAGTCATTAATAAAGCTGCACGATCTTGAGATTTCTGTGTTCATAAGAATTGAATGGTTCTTGTTGATTAGTTCTTTCTTACCTACCCAGGAGGGTAAAAATGGAAATTCATGAGGGTTGATTTTAAATTCTCTTATTCCTATTCCATGCAGCTCCAGAAACAAGAACTTGCTCATCGACTGAATCTGAAGCCCAGACAGATCGAAGTTTGGTTTCAAAACAGAAGAGCAAGGTATATACATACAAACATATATATACACATATTCATACACATACGCTTATATATATATTGGCATATTTATTTTTACAAAGGTTTCTTATTCGTGTATTCAATGTCTTGTCGGTACGATATTTACAGCTTAAACTGTTAAACAAACTCTCATTAATTTTTCTGGGTGCATCTATTGCATAACGTTGTGTTTGCTTCTGAGATCTATTGGTTTTAATCTTCCAAACCTTTTATATATAAAAGATACACATTATATGTGTGGTGTACTCTTTTAATACTCAGTCCAAACCAAGACATGCTATGATGTTTTCGTATTTTGCATCATATGGAGGACGACATGTGTCCTTATTATTACTATTATTAACTTTTGCAAGTCCGATAATTAATGATCTTCTTCTAGGAAGAACGCGAGGATAACCTGTTAAAAAAAAAACTCAGATATTTCATATATAGTTTTGTCCAGTGCTTTGGAATTGATTTTTATTTTTCCTTTTCTGTTGTGAAAGGAAAAAGTTGAAGCAGACGGAGGTGGACTGCGAGCTTCTGAGAAAGTGCTGCGAAAACCTAAGAAACGAGAACAGAAGGTTGAAGAAAGAAGTTGAAGAACTACGAGCCCTCAAAAATGGCACTGTTCAACTTTCTAGAGCTCTTTGTTCCTCTTGTGAGAAGCCATTAATCAAAGGCCATTAATAATTAACTGAGCAATGATCGGTATGATTGATCTTCAACAACAACAAGAAGACTGACATCAGAATACACCTAGTGGCATTGTTTCTGAAACTTAGTGGTCCCAGAAACTGCACAGTACAGTAGTGGGGGGTAGAGATAGAGCCATAGCCATAGACAAAGATATAGAGATGATGATGATATCAATATATGTTTGGATTTGGATACATATATAAATATATATATATAGGAAATACTTTTAGTTATCAATATTGTTTACCTTTTACTGCAAATACAGATTTAATAAATTAACATTTTTCATGTCATATACAGTCACATGTGGTGGTTAGTTTTATTTATAATTTTTATGTTTTTTTTAATGTAGTATAAAGAAATGCATGCACCCACAAGCATTTTAACATTGTGTTCGAATCCAAAATCTCATCCAAACATGATAGGTAATGTTGTTGCTAGGACAATTAGCAGTTAGTAATTATAATTTATGTTTTGTGCAGTGGGTTATATGAAAATTAAAAAAAAAAACCTTTTGTTTTGGTTTTTGCTTGTGGATTAATCAGAATACATATACAAGTCCGTGAGGACAAGGGATAATAATTATTGTGAATTTTTCGGTGTCCATCTTTTTTGAGTGGTTGAAACTTAATTGAAACTGATGAGAAGAGACAGAGTAGGTCAAAATCTCTTAGCCACAATAGGAACTATGACAAATATTTTTTTTTTTCCTTTTGCTACAATAAATGAGTTTAATAATGATAGGAATATATAACTAATAATTTTATCCATATATTTGTTAGTGATTATTCCAATTTAGAAAGTGACGAAAATTGAAGAAATAACATAGAACATCGGTGTGTGTGTGTGTGTGAAAAGAAAAATGTGAGATTATTAACTTTTGAGATTAATTATATATATATTTGTCATGCATGATGTAAGATAATAAAAATATGATACATTCTATATGATCCATCATATCTATTAATATGCCCCACAAATCTCTCTTTCTTGTATAATCTCTTGTCAATGATTTGTTGACGTTATCTCCGTAGAATTGTCTAATTAATTAAAAAAAAATATTTATGCTATTATTTGGACACTAATTAATAATAATGTTGACAGAAATAAGTTTTCTTTTAATTGAAAATTTTGTGGTGGGTTTCGTCTATATGTACGACTTGTCCTCATTGTCATTCTATGTGGAAACACCTTCCTAATTTTTCTGCAAAGAGTTGTCAAAGTTTTGAATTTAATTTATGATGCATTTTTCTTCCGTGTTTTGGTCAGCAATTAATTAAATTTTAATTAATTTTTCTGTCAAAAGACGTGATTTTTATTTACGACCATCATGTGAACAATTAATTTTGTCATATTTTTTTGGTCAAAATTGTATCATATTTTATGTAGAAGATGATTTTACTCTCTGATTAAAAACCATGCATGTGCTTTGATTTTGATTGATTGATTTATTTTTATATTTAATTTTGAAATAAATACTACTTGAAGCCAAAAAAAGAAATAAATAGGAGTACTACTTAATATGTTCACACTTAGATTCATTAATACAATTAAGCGGATGAGATCACACTTGACTTTTAAAATTTGGATAAAGAATTTAATATTGAGATGACACAAAAAGTTGACTTGTCAAAAAATGAATACTCGAAACTAGAAAGAATTTTATTTTTTGTATATATTATTTTTTGGGTTAATATAATCTTTGGTATCTCAAATTTGTTCTCATTTTGGTTTTATTCCTCAAGTTTTAAATAATAGATTTTTGATCCCTCTAGGAGCAAAATGATCCAAATCTTTATTGAATTATAGGGACCGATGTTTTAAATGAAAAGAAATTTGAGGAATAAAAACCTATAGTTTGAAACTTGATCAACTAAAATTAAAATGAGAAAAAACCTAAAGGACAAAAAATTATATTAACTCTTTTTTTTTAAAAAGAAAAAGATAAGTGCATTGGTATCTAATTGGTAATAAGTGCACCACTAATTCTCTCTTTTTTGTTTTTGTGTTTCTGTTGATGGAACTAACCCACAAAGTGAAGGTCAATAGGCAAGGAAAATTCATAGAATTTTCATAATGCTAACTATTATTAGTTTCAATTAAGAATATTTTTTTAACTTAATTTTTTTTCCTTTCACATCTTCAACTCATTTTTAAGAATTCGTTTTTACTTGATTAAACTAATGTCAGTTGTGCTAATTTTTCAACAATAAAAAATTTAATTTTGCATTTAATTTTCTTAAAATTATCACTACATATTCAAACTGAAATAACATATAATTTTTACTTAATTTATTTTGAATTTCCCATATTAAAATAAGTACTGGTATTATGAAATTGAAAAGGTTCTAGTTCTTTAATCTGAATGATCCAATGCATGCTTAGATATTGGCTAATCTGATGAAGAAAAGGATACCTAAAATGTATTTTTAGACAGTCAAATAAATGCAAGTTAATCATTCAATTAACTATCAAGTATCAACATATTAAAATGCAGATGGCAAAAAAAAACATCAATATATTATGATTTAGAAGCTTAAGTCGCCAAGTACTCAATCAATTTATTATTATAAGCTACTTTTAATTAATTCACATAAACTAATATAATTGGTTGATATTCTTAAAATATTTCATTCTTTTTAAATATACCACTCATTAAATACGATTGACTGTTTTAGTGATAAATAAATTAAATTAATTCAGGTCAATCAATTTTTTATTTGTCAGAAGCATTTTCATGTTAAGCACATTAATTATTCATAACATTTGCAAATGCCTTATAAATTAAAACATAAAACTGTTTTTTTTTACCTGAAAACATAAAATTGTTTGAAGGATAGCTTAAGCAGCAATGGTAATATAAAGGGAGGGAAGTATCAATTTGGCCATTCAAAATTAAATTTAAAGCTAAAAAGACACACACAATAATGTGCTTTTGATGAAAAGGTGTGATGATTGTGTAATTGACCATAAAGCCTTAATTATTTTCTATTTCAACTTTCACCAAATGATCAATATATATAAATACATAACATGTCATATCTTTAACCCGAAAAGCAAGATAACAAAGTCAATAATGTAGTGGGGGTCACAATAATGGCAACAATTAAGGGGACTATATTTATCCCTATTTTTGCCACCAAGGTTTAATTAATTAATAATCAATAATATTAGTATATTACAAATATTTTATATGATAGAGAATATATATGTAATATATGGTGATACTCCCTCTCGTTCTTATTGTAAGTAGAGCCAGTAATATAGATTAGACTTACAGGTCTAACCTGCTAACCCACCAAAAATATTAGGTTCGGGTTGGCACCAACAAATAAAATCTTTTAACCAAACACACAACTCATTGTGGGTCAGCCAACCAATCCAAGGGCTAACCTGTATTTATTTTTAAATTTTATTAATTACTATATATTATTATATTTTATAAACTATCTAAAAATTTTTAAAAAATATCCATATAATTTATTTGGTATTTTCAATCAATTATTTAAAGAAAAGATAAAAATTTCATCATATTTTATTCATATTGTATAAGAAAAAAATACTTAAAATGAAAAAAAATTAAAAAAGGAAATAATAGCTACATATCGGCCCATCAACTCACTACGGTGAATTAGAATTAGCTAAAACCCAACCTGTCATTACATGGAATTTTTTCAACATGTCTCACTTAATCCTAACTTGTCATGAACCAATTTGTAACTCGCAGGTTGACCTGTGTTACCATCCCTGGTGATAAGCTTTGAATGACTAATTCATGAATAAAGAACAATTAGTTAAAATTATTTTAAAATAATAAATAGATTAAAAATAAATTTTTGTTTTCAAATATACTTTTATAATAAATGAGAAAAAAGTTAAAAAAATATGTGGGAAAATGTAATAAAAATATTATATAACAAACTTTATTCAATGTTTGACAATTTTCAAATTAAACAGTCAAGTCAACTATTCTTCTCCCTAATTCTTCAATAATTTCTTAGACCCTAAGTTTATTTTTGTAGCAAGACTTTTTAAAGAGACAAAAAATGTATGTGAATCGTTTTTAGAAAAATTAATAGCATAAAATTAATTTATTTTCAATATAAATAATATAATGTTTTTCTCTAACTTTGTACAAAATAACACATAGGACCTCCACTATTTTTAATTAAATAACTTGATACTAACATTTTATTTTATTACTTGTGAGCGTTTCATCGATAAGAATTAGCGTTTGATTGAAAGACTCCAATGATTTTGCATTATGATATGTATTGACTTTTCCACAAATGGACTGATCATGGAAAAGAGGGAATTGACCAAAACATTGAACAAATTCATTGTTACTACCCCTTTCATGTCTCAATATGGGGACCCGCATTCCTCCAACCATATAGCTTATCGTTCAAGCAAATATTTTTGCTCAGATAGGTTTGATATTTAATATAATATTAAATAAATATATATGCATATGCTATAACATTTTTGTCAAGATATGTACAGTTTTATATTATCCTTTTGTTGAAAAAGTTCATTTAATCTTTCTTTAAATACCAACTGGCTGGATTTTAGAAGTTAAGTTAGACCCACAAATCTAAATGGAGTTAGTTCCAACCTTATGAGTATAATTTTTTGTTGATAATAATATTTTGATGCACAAATTTTTTTTTTAAAAACCCCACGTTGAAATTTAATTTTATGTATGGACATATGTTTCCTACTTCAAAGCCTAAACTTTAAAATAATTTTTTATGACACAAAAGAATAGTTTTTTTGGCCAAATGAAGGAATAATTTTAAGTGTCCTAGATATTTGATTAAGACTAACAAGATGTATCTAATGTAATACTTTGTATATGATCCTTTTAATCAAATTATATGATTTAAAAAACAGTTAAAATTAGTTAAAAGTAGTACATATATAAAATTAAACTTTTTTTAAATATACCTTTATTTAATAAGAGTGAAATAAGAAAAAAAACATTAACAATGACATAAAAGATGAAGAGAATGAAGTACGAGAAAAAAATAGAAAAAAGAGTAGAAAATTAATTAAGAACAAAATTAATTAAACAAATATATTTAATGTTCAGACAATTCTAAATACGATCTTATTAAAAAAAACTAAATCAATTCAAATTTTAAAAATCTTATGAAAAGAAAGTAATATATAAAACAGATTGAGTCAAACATAATTTCTTTTTTTTGGGGGGAATACGATAGCTTGTAGCTTGGGAAAGGGAACACTGACCAAAGACGGGTGAGTCTGGTCTGGCCACCATTCGCAATCATTGATTGGTAATTCCTTTCAAGTTTCAACATCTTCCAACATTTTGAATTAACTAATTCTAACATGATTTTAATTTTTTCCATTTATCAATGACTACTTTTTTTATTAAATTCTTTTGTGGAAAAAAAAAATTAAACATCAATAATTCAGTGCACACAAATTGACGTTCCTCCATTATCACCTACTAGCATGTATGATAATGATAGCTAGACTAGGAAAATAGTTGGTCAGTTTCTTTTGTCCTTTTTTTTTTTGGGGTCAAATATCTTTTTACGCTATTTAGCCAAAATAAATACAGTAGGAGGAGTAACCCTTACGTAAACCCCATGAAATTTTCACACAATGGAATCGGATTTAAAAAAAAAAAAAAGAACAAAAAAATTCAACATGAAATGCCATCACTCATCAGGCCTAAATTTGATCCGAATATAATGGTGCCGGGTCCCATAAAGTCTGATGTGGGACACCTTAGTATTGACATTGAGATTTAAGAAATATAATATTTTTAATTAAATGAATTTCACACTTAAATTTGTCTCTTTCGAATCTGATTAGAAATTAATTTTTTTTAAAAATTCCCATTACATCTATGATCTCTTCCGTATCTTCCTCGATTTCTCACATTCTAATACATCGCTATCAATAAAACCAAAAAATACCTTCTTTTTAGGGTTGATCACATACATGAAAATCGCTGAACATCTATGGGCAACGACTATATCTCTTCATGTGTAATAAATAAGAAATCCCAACAAAAATCCGACAGGAAATAAACGTGAAGATATGTCAAGAGTAAAATTCAAGGGGAAGTCCTTTTTTTTTTTTTTTTGCCCCCTTGCTGCACTACCTCAATCTTTTGTAGTTGACATATCCTGCCTAAAACACGGGGAAAAAATAAATAAATAATAAATAACAAATAATTTTTTTTTTTAAGAGAAAAACAAAAGGTGTTAACTAGTTGTCCTAGTCTGGTGAAGAACCAAAGTGGCATAAATGAGCTCATTCCAAGCATCAGGTACCCCGGGAAGACACCAATGGCTACAATCTTGCTTTCTTGTGGATACTTTCTTCCCTGGAATTGTGTACTTTCCATATACAGATGGGTGGCCATCCTTGCGGAAATTGGTCAGTCTTGTGACATTTAATAACTTCACCGGAACTTTCATCCCCCTAATCACTTCTTGCACTATCTTCATTTTTTCCGGATAGCTGTTAAGGATCGTCCCAGTAAAAACTGGATCGGTTTCACCCCGGCATGACCCACCTGAGTCCCAGTCTCCACCTCTGATTCCAAAATTTCATGAAAAAGAAACAAGAAGTGATTACAAAGAGTAATCGATGGTGGTGTGACTGCAATTTATTTCTTTTACAAGACTCTCGGTCATAAATATAATGGAAGGGGAAGAGTATCATGTAGTTTGGGCCATAGTTTGTCGTTACCTAGTAGTTCAAAAGCTGACGTTCTGCTATTAAATGTACCAAACAGAATACTTTAAATTCATGACTTCGAAAATATTCAAAAAGAAAGTAGATACAAAAATATATGACTATGGACAGGGCTCTTATCCCATTTTTATATCCATCCTATCTTTGTTTCTTTATCTCCTTTTGAATATCTTCTACGCATTCACTTTCGCAAATGTGAAACGTCAGAATTTGAGGTTTTGCTTGCTAGTCAGCAAGGCACATGACCTTAGGCTTTAATTTTGCCAAATCTTAAACAGATACTTCCAGATCATATATATAAAAATCTACAGCAAGTTACGACTCATCTCACACTCCATGCAAGCAAGAGTCTTAAATGAAGGTCCTTCTGTTTTTCCAAATTTGCCAACTTTTGAACCAGAAGATAATGAACTGAAACAGGCCAAATCACGCAACGGTAAACTGTATTTTAAACCGTTTTTTCAGAAAATCAATACCTGAAATGGGCAGAAGAATATCCACGATAGTAGACTATCTGTTTCTTTGGATTGATGTTACGATCAATCCAATTTGCCCAGGTCTTTAGAGCCCTTCTGTATGCCTCAACTGAATCAAACTGTGGATAAAGATAATCACCTTCTTTGTAATAATTTATCCTGGAAAAAAAGCAGACATTGTCGGTTTTGGTAGATGAATTTTTCTTTTACTTTTTCTTTTCAAACAAAAAATGTGCTGCAAATCTTTTATGGAAGGAAAATTTATCTTCAAGGGGTCAATGGCAAAACAGTAATTCAAGAACTAAACTCAAAGTTACCTAACTTAAAGAACATAGAGGTACCATTTCAAAGCATAAATCTATTAAGATAAAAAAAATTGCATACAACCCTCGAGCAGTCTTTCCATGGGTCCACCAGTGCCCAGTGTTAAAGATAAGAATATCAGCCCTCATCCAACGGCCAGACGTCTTGTCAATCCGGTCTATTGATAATGTTGGGTTTGAGTTCCCTTGTGCATTTTTACGAATTCCTTCCCTCACAAGGAAATGAGATCTCACAAATTGTACTGTACAGTTATAGTCCTGCCAAAGCGTTTCAAAACCTTAACATAATGAACTACAGTTTATAAGCCTACAATTGATTCTAACGAGAAAAATACGCAGGCAAGATTGCCTGGTCGTTGTTCGGATGATTAAAAACTCTGCAAAATTATTGTAAGAACCAAGAGAAATAGCATCATATTTTCAAAGAGCTTAAAAACTAAGGGCTTGTTTGGGAGATGTAGCATGGTAAGGGAAAAAAATTATTTGGATGGTTCAAATGTAATGGATAGGGGTGGTCTGGTAAGCAGCTCCCAGACCCAAACATATCCTCCCCAACCCACACTCCAATTTCAAAAAACCTCCAAATCGGGGAAGTTTGAGATGATTTGGCTTCCCCATATTCTTCAATCACAGTTTCACCATTGATCGTTAAGATATCCTTCACTTTTTCTTTTTTCTTGAGATAAAGATTCTTCACTTTATTTCACATTCACAATACTAACATGGGAAACTTATGCCTTAGGGGCCTGATATTCTTCACCCTATCAGTGACGCCGCAACTGTCAAACAATACGAAATGGGCTATCATATATATATATCTTCATTAAACATCCAACGGAATAGGAACTGTCTCTTCCCACTCCACTCCATCCCGTCCCCCTCCATTAATGACCAATCCACTTCGCTTTCTTCAAAATTCCCAAACAAGACCTAAGGAGCAGCTGGAGTTGTTCTTGTCAACAATTTGGCGTCAAAGCAATCAATCAGAAGTAATCACAACAGACAATTATGAGAGGAAATATTTTTTCAAAAGCTGCTGAAAACATTGAAAAATTCATGTCAATAATGCCCGGATAACCTGACGATGCAAGGAAAGGAAGTTTTTACCTCAAATTTGAAAATGTAGAAACCCCGTCCTTTGGTTATTTTGTACCCATGGGTCTCATACATTTTGCTCTTATTTTGAAGACCTTCACGGAGCATGCACAAAATTGATTCAAATTGATTCCGATTCATAGAATCTCCTATCAGCATCAAGTTTTTACCTCTTAGTCTTACCAAGAAGTCTGTGGCATTAAACCTGCAAGTAACAAGGTAAAGTGAATGAAGAACGACCATGAATATCTGATGTTCCTGTAAACTGCACTATCAGGGACCAAATATTAGATGCTTGGAAAATGATTTAGCAACTCCATACAATTAACCGTTATTTCAATTCTCACACAGGGTGACTGAAGAGCCTTGCATAGACAGAAGGCCAAAAGCTGAACAAATTTTAGATGTACACCAATTACTTGTCAGACTCAACCAATACAACAGCAGCTCAACATAGGGTTCAAGTAACTGTAAAGGAATTCTCTTTCCCTCTTCTCACCGATCAAAGAGAAAGAACAATTTTTTTGATGATCTATCAGATATTATATTTGTTTAAACTGAAACGTAAAAATAACGAAAAATGAATTATACCACTCCCAACTTCTACGAAATCCAAAAGGCAGAGTAAGCATGGTGACAAACAGATCTAGTGATACAATCCACTATAAATATTGAAAAATATTAATCACAAGGTTAAAAGTTTGAAATGCACTGATTAATTGTAATGCCTGACTGACTACCAGACAAAAAATATGGCTTCAGAAACTAAGCAAAGAACATCATTCATCAAACATGGGCTAGAAGAACCGAAAACATCAATCAAGATGATCCAGTACAACCATAGTGCAGGAAAAAAAAGTATGGTATTTTTTTAAAAATATTTCTACATTAATAGAACATTTGTTTGCACAAGTTTGACAGTTCTAAGAAAGATCTCACACTTTTTTAAAAATGTTTTCCACTGGTTTGGAATAAATAAATTAACCTACGTTGTGTGCTGAGGAAGCTAATATGGATGCCAGAGGAACAAAGCTTATATGAATTGAAAATCGTCATCAACTTTCGCTGGTAGTAATACTATTGTAGGGCACCAAAACCTAAATTCATGCTTCAGGGAGATAAGCTCTGATAGTAAGATCCGCTGTTCTTCAATATTTACAGGACAACCCAATCACCTTCATAATTTGCAACCCAAAAACTCGGCCATATTTTCATGAAAGTTCTTTCAACATTTAGTATCACATATACGCTTAAAATACATTCAGTCAGATGCATTGGTTTTCGAAAGTTGCTTTCCTCAAGCTGTTCCCAAGAGAAAAGGTAGCATTTATGTCTGTATCACATGTTATCGTTGGGTATTCATATGTGAGCATGTCTTAAAGGACAAGCCCAAGACTAAAACATATATGCACTTGAGTGAACATGGACAAGAGCAATGTCACTCAAACTACCATATCATGTAAACGAAGTCGTGGTGCCCAAGACTCTCAAGGACAAGCAAAAGACGTTTTTATCACAAGTTCAATGCATGTCCGCTTAATGTTCAACAATATCACAATGAAGTCTCGGAGCAATAAAACTCGTTTACGTCCCAATCTCCCATGGATACACAATACAGCTCACACATTACAACGAATTGATGAAAATGCTTAAAAGAAGTGAAAGATAACACACGCACACCTCCCACATAATAACACGTAAAGCACTAGAAAAACTACACAATACCTGGGAAGATCACAGCCATCAGGCTGCCACCGCCATTTTGTATAATCTGTGTCAGTCCTTCCATTGATTTGGCAATCATAAGCTTCGTCAACATAAGGGCAAGAACCCGGTCGGTAAATTGGGTAATTTTCATCCTTCACCCAAGTTCCAGTGTACAAATCACACTTCAACTGCTTCTCCAACGCGGGATCGCCGACATTATCAGCTATTTTGCCAGTGGTTACATTATCAGCATCATTCTTAGAAACTTCATTGTCAGTACCATCAGTGCTAGAATCGTGAACATCAACCGCAATTGCGTCGGTGGATCCGTTCTTAGAATCAGCGCCATTCTTATCGCGACCAGAAACTTCATTGTCGATGCCTGAGACACGATCATTACCCGCCATTGTCACATTCAATTCCTTATCAGAAACTGGTTCGATCGGACTATTAACAGAAATCTCATTATCCGAGCCAGACTCGCGAAGACTATCCACACTAGAGACAGTGGTTTTGCTGTCAGAAGCTTTCTCATTCTTATCATTACCAGATTCTTCTTTATCGAACCCAGCAGAGTTAGGATCGAGTTCAACCGGTCCAGTTTGAACATTCTTATAAACAGAGTGGTTAGATGGAGAATCCACATTTCCCGGGTCAGAAGTAAAATTCAAGGCAGTGGCAGTGTGCTCAGAAGATGAGATTGGAGAATCTTGGAGAGAAGGGGAAGCTCGAAAGAAGATATCAGGACGAAGTGAGAGGGCGGATTCTAGAGCTCTTCTGCTAAAAACGAACATAGTGAGAAGAAACAAGGCGAGGAACAAGAGGGTGGTGACGGTATAAAGGCTCCTCCTCTGGGTGACGGAAGTTGCCATGTGGGAAATGGTGGAAGAGCATGTTCATGGAAGAGAGATGAAGACCGGAGGAGGCGTCGCCGGCTCCGACAGTTACAGAGGAAGAAGAAAGTGGGGGATTTCATGACCGTGTTCGGAGGCACATGTTCACACGTGCTGCTTTTTTTTTTTTGGTAAAATCACACGTGCTGCTTTGTTCGCTCAGAAGAGTTGGTTGGAGGTTGGGTTTTAGACACCTTAATTTGGGAAAAATTCGACCGTATAAAATCAACCCAACCACAACTTCTGCTTCCGCTTTTTTTTTCTAATTTTTTTTTGTTGCCAAATTACCGACTTCTACTCCTACTTCATGCAATATTTACATCCCCCCCTTCCAGTTTTTGAAGAATAACAGAAGATATAATCATGTGATAATTTCATGACTATGACTATGACTATTTTAAATAACCAGTCTTTAAAAAAATTACTCTTTATAAATTACAACTTTTAAGATAGAGCTGATCCTTTTTATATGTCACACTTTATATATATATATACTACCTCCGATCCTTATATAAAACCCTATTTGATTTTTATTTTGATTCTAAATATAAGATCCCAATCCACTTTTCTCTCATATTTACTCAATTTTTTCCAAGATAGTCCTTTTAATATTATAGTTATAGTCAATACATTTGATTAGTAAGGATATTTAAGAAAGACAACACCTATTTAAGACAAATGACTAACTCAACTTACTTCTTCTAATCTCCTCAAATTAGTCAACTGACTCTTATAATTAGGATCAGAGGTAATATATGCTATTTAGTGTTTACAGCACATAAATCATCAATGTAAGTTTTTTCTGTTCATATAAATCAATTAAATGCGTGCACACATAAACATGTCAATGTTGAGTTTAAACCTGGGGCCTCCTCCAGACATGGCAAGCAGCATCCGGAGCAACTAGCCGTTAATTGTATGGACTTCTATATAGGAACAATACATAGCCCAAAATTTAGTTCCCTTGAAATTTTTATATTTTATAATAATATGTAGGTTGTTATTGATTAATTATTAATTAATAATATGGGAATTGAAATCAAAATGTTTAATGAATAACGGAAATAGGTATAGATAGGCATAGGTAGAAGGGGGGATATGGGTGAGTCTGAGAAGCTATAATATACAGTGGTGTTGTTGGTAACTTGGCAAGTTTGAGGGAAGGACAAGAGTGAGGTGTTTGAACAGAAATGGGAGTCTGCTTTAATTCACCATTCACTATTCGCTTCCCATCTTTCATCTTCCTGTCTTCTCAGTCCTCAATTTTTCACAATTCCGGCGTTCCCATTCCCTTCTTCCCTCCTCCTCCTTGTTCCCCTCTTTTCCGTATAACCCATCCCCCCCCCCTCCTTCCTCCTTCAGGTTTATTGTTTTTTTTTTCATTTTTGATATAGTTATCTGGATTAGATTGGAGCATTGCCAAATTCAATTAAAGATAGCTCTTCCATAAGCATGTTTATGTTTTTTTCATTGAAAGTATCCTCCATCCCCAGGGGAAACTAATCTAGAATCTAAGATAAATGATAGACCTCTGCTGCCACGACTCCCAAATCTAATGATCCAATTCCCAATATTGGTAGCCTAAAGTTCATAATTTGTACTATGGAACAGGATGAGTGCAAAATAAAATAATACATGTGAGTTCTATGTATGGGACAAAAATGAGAAATAATGCTGGGAAAACTACTGCATGGACTCCTCTAATTTTAGACATCAAAAGAAAAAAAGGAAAAACATGTGATTGGAAGTACCAAGTAGGATTTGAGAGGATTTGGGTGGGGCTGGGTTAAGCTAACTACTTCAACCTTCCCTGGCCAGTGGCCAGTCGCCAGAAGGCTTAGTAGGTTTAGGAAACAGGATTCATTTTGCACTTTGCTTCCTCATTTTACTCTTCTCAAACTGTGTTGGTTGGTTTGGACTCACAAGTTGTCCATCAATGCTGAGGTTTGAATTGATGTGCCTTAAAGATGTTTGGTGAAATATCTGACCCAAGAGATGTGATATATCATTACAGTCTTTTACTGCATATATACGAGGTACTTCGTAGTTAATGCCCCATAACCTTCTCATGCCATGCCCTCTCTCTGCTCTGTTTCATTACTAATAATAATAATATATCAGCACCAATTAATTCCTTTTGCCTCTGTCTCCCTCCCTCTCTCTGGTCCATTTACACAAGTATATAATCTTCTGAGGGTCTTTCTCTTTTTCTCTGCCCTTCCATTTCTTCTATGATTTTGAACTTAAACTTGGTTCAATGAGATTGATAATTTTGGTGTGTCTTTTGATCTTGGTCTGCCATAGGTTCAACAACGCAGTATCTGCAAGAAACAAGAGCTTCATTGTCACTGATTTACTTGAAGATACAAAGAAGAAGAGCTCAAATGAGCATGAAGACGAATACGGCAACAAGTGCAACTCCAAGAGGTGCCGTTTTAGTCATCCCTTTACAAGCTCCATGAAGAACAGCACCATCTCTGATGATAAGAGACTCGTCCCTACTGGTCCTAATCCATTACACAACAGGTAGCAAGACAAAGAACCATCTTCCTTGTAGCATATAATGACTAGGATCCTGTTATAGTGCTTTAAAGATTATGTGCGTCCAGTATCAGTTGACTTCTTCAGAGATTTTTTTGGCTTCACTTCATCGCTCATGCTTCAACTATGTAGGTTCAGAATGACAAAATTAGATCCATCTGGTTCGAAAAATCTACAAAGAAGTCAATTGTTCTGAGTCATATTTCTATTCAGAGGCCAAAGGGACCTTTAGGTGACCACAATGGAAAGTACAGTATGATCTTCTTCATTTTTGTTTTAGGAAGTTGTATTACTTTGCAGTTGTATTAAGGTGAATTTTGGAAAAAAACTGACGTACATTACCCTCTTCTTCTAGAGTTTGAATATATTTTTCCTCCATTTTTCATTTGCTTTTTTGCTCCTTCTCTGTTCATCTTGTAAGCGAATCAATCGCAGAATATTGCTTCTGACAATAGCATTACTGTCAACTTTCTCCTAGCTTAGAGGTTACTATTGTTCACTGGGCAAAAAGACAGGCTCATACGTTGTAACAATTTTCATATGTCACTGTTACTGTTGCATGTTAAAAAAAGTCCCAGTAGACCGGGGATATACCAAAAAGTTCATTTCTTGTTTCCCTCTTCTTGGTTGAGACTTCAAAACATGCTTGTTTTTCAGAGAGGGAGAGGGAGAGGGCTTTGTATCCGATCGAAAATAAATCTTTATCTTATTATAGGAAGTTAAAAAAAAAAAGACTGAAAATTTATAGTATTAAAAATTACTTTCAGTGTACGACAGAATTTGGTTCAATCGATGAGGATAAAAGCCATACTTCACAGGGATGTGGATTCGAAATCCAGTATTTTTTTGGGAGTATATTTAAAGCAAAAATTAATGATTTATAGAATACCGAAGGTAAATCTTTTAACAACCGTCATGATACTCATTGTTATGATAAAATTTAAACCATTTAAAATTAGTTTTATGGTCTAAATTTAAAATTTTTAAGTAGTAATTTTAAATAAAAAATAATCTTCAAAAACTTAGTTAAGATATTACATTTGTTTTGAATTTGTACCTGTTAAAAAGGAAAACATTTTTTAAAAAAATAAAAATATTAAATATTAAATCTCAATATTTTATATTAAATTTGAATAGTTAAAATTTAATAAGTATTATAATACTCACCGCTTATCGGACGATAAACATAAAAAATAGTTCACCTTTTCAACTAGGTTGCTATATGCAAATGAGCTGAAATTCAAATTCAAAACCACTTTTCAAGCAAGTTCTCATCAGTACCATTCATAACTGAGGTTCAGACCAAAAACCACTTGCTCAAATTATAGTGTTAGGCCAATTTTCTATAGCTATAATTTTTAATAAATTAAATTTATTTATTTTTAATTTTAGTTCTTTAAATTTTAAACTATAAATTTTAATCCGATAAATGACTCAAGTTTTTATTATATTATAAAAATTAATATTTTAAATAAAAAAATTTGAAAGGTCAAATCTATGATTTTAAAATTTAAGAAACAAATTTTAAAAGATAAAAAATTGTATTAATGCTACCAAAAAAATACGTTACTTTCAATACTTGACCCCACAGTCTTGATCTCTATCAAACTGCACATAGTACATTTACTCTCTGAATACAAAGGATATGGTGGGGTTGCGTAGATTCAGTCTATAGGTCAAAAGAAGAAAGAGGGTGCTTGTGATGTCTGAAGCAAAACCTGTACTGCCAATGAAGAAACGGCATTGAATATGTGTCGGGACAGGAATTTAAGGGGAACGCTTCTTAATAAATTCCCCATATGTAGCTATAAAGGTTCTTTGCTTTCTCCTTCGACAAAAACTAGCAGGGTCGTTTTGCCTGTGTCTCTCTCCCTCTCCCATGCTTTTTTCCATTCTTGTTTTCAGTCTCTTTCTCGTGGTGTATATCTCGAGGCTGTGCTTGTGCATACAATTAACTGCCCCCATGTATTGTCGGCTTCGTATATCCTCTTCCACAAAATATAACATTATATATACATATATACGTATATACTACCTCTGGTCCTAATTATAAGAGCCAGTTAATAATTTGAAGAGATTAAGAAAATAAGTTGAGTTAGTTATTTGTCCTAAATAGGTGTTGTCTTTCATAAAATATCCTTGCTAATCAAGTATATTGACTAGAATTATCATCGTTAGATGACTACTTTGGAAAAAAAATGTATAAATATGAGAGACAAAGGGATTGGGGTCTTATATGTAAGACCAAAATAAAAAAAAAAAAGGATTTTATATTAAAGATTGAGGTGGTGTGGTGTGCGCGCGGCGCGTGCGTGTGCGTGTGCGTGTGCGTGTGCGTGTCGTGTGCGTGTGCGTGTCGCGCGCGCGCGCGCGCATCAGAGACGGAAGTCATCATGGTGACAGTGGAGGAGAAGATGCTTTGGTTTATCAATGTACTAAACTAAGACATGGTCACATGGACTATCCTAAATTCTGGGGACATTTTTAAAGATAATATCAATGTTCTTTGTGATGATTAATTAATATGACAATATAAGATCTGAGTTGAGTGACCTAGTGGAATAAAATATTCTCCATTATCGCAGAACTTGAGTGCTAAGATTTCAACTCCTTTGTCCTTTTTTTGACCTGAAGGATTTTGAAAAAGATTGAAATTATGTCTTTTATTTCAGTCATACTAAATATATTACAAAAGTCTGCTATGATCATTACCTTCAATGTAAAAAAGCTTCACACAACTATCATGTAAGGATGATACAGAGATGTTCTCATGCTAATTACAGTAGAAGAATTCCTGCTAAAGGGAGTTCCATTGCAGATTACAAATACCTGAAGCAAAAGGTTAATGCATAGGTGGTCTAGCCCTTCAAAATATTTCCCCTTTTCCTTATATAGTCATAGCTCCTTATTTGATAGCGAGTATGAACAAGTAGCCTTTACTTTGGTATGGATGCAGAATCATTGGGCAATGGTGAAGGATATGCCTCAGATATGGCTTCCCAAGAATGGTTCTCATCATCCTTTCTCTGCCTTCGGTCAAGGAAGGATGGCCTCGTCGGTGTTCTAATCATGTCAATTTTGAATGTCAACAATGCTACAATCTCTGACATTGGAGGCCTTAAGTTTGCTTGAGACTGAATACATAAGAACGCCACATGGATTGCCTGCATAACATCCTTTTCTATAAATCCAAGTTCCCGCAATTTCGGGTGTACAAGATCCATCAACCTTGACTTGTCAAAGAGCTTCCATGCCTGCAATGAAAATACACACAAGCCCATTGAAATATGCGGCAGAAATAATACTGTTCTGTGTAATAAACATAATTCAGTGTAGAATGCAGGAGCTTACATATTCGGGAAGATACTGCATTTCTGATGGTAAAGTAAGATCCGTATTTTTCCTGCAGCAAATAATTTCAAGCAGAAGGACTCCAAAACTATAGATGTCTGCCTTTTCTGACAATTCCCCTCTAATAGCATATTCAGGAGCTGTATAACCCCTAATCAAGATAGACAAGAAAGACTAGCATATAATTTACTACATATGATGGAGTTGTTTGGATAAACTCAAAAGTCATCTTATCACATTATAATGAAAAACTAAGACATCAAACACCTGCATGGAATACTTCATAGGGGGTTCATTCACTACATTGACGGATTTAGACTTGATTATTCATTTTAATGATGCCATTTGTGAAACACAGGACGTGATTGGAAAGAAAGTGAAACCGCTATTTTTCATCATGTCATGTGCTCAAATCTCACCACATTTCTGGACGGATCAAGGCAATATAAACCGCCCAGGTAGGTATGGCGGTACGACTTGATTCATTGAACTTTGAATGGTTATTGAGCTACATGGTTAACTGGTTGTATATACCTATATAGCAGCCAATCCACCATTTCATTGGTTTACCAACTGAACCAGCTAACCCAGTCTGAGAGTCTAATCAATGCATTTAAAGACATTATCAGATCATTAGAGAATAAGACTCACAATGTTCCAGCAAACTGAGTGCTGAGGTAATCTTCATCGTCAGGGAAGAATCTCGCCAGTCCAAAGTCCCCAATCCTTGGACGAAACTTTTCATCAAGAAGAATATTGCTTGCTTTAATATCTCGATGAACAATTCTGATATGTGAATCCTCATGTAAATATTGCAATCCACGTGCTACTCCAAGGGTAATTTGGAACCTAGTTCTCCAGTCTAGAAATTGATCACTGCTTCCTGCATTATAGCAGCATCCAAAAAAGGAGTTTTGTGTTGTTATAACAATCACACAACCTTTTAAACACTAAAGGAGAATTCAACAGTACAAAAAACAGTAAATATTTAACCAGATCTTCTGCTCAAAGGAGACTTTTATTTAACTACTACGGGGTTTTATATGTAGCAATAAGTCTGAGAAATGAGCTATAATGTTCATAGCTCATAAATAGTGCGATTTATTAGAGTTTCTACTTAATATAAAAATATTTAACATGGGTTTCACTGTATATAAACATGATAGATGGATGCTAAAAACTGAAAGTATTAAAGAGGTAATATAAAGAAGGAATACCAAATATATAGAGGTCCAAACTTTTGTTCTTCATATATTCATACACAAGCATCCTTTGAATCCCTTCTGTGCAACATCCAATAAGGCGAACCAGATTTTTGTGCTGAATACTGGTGATCATTCTCACCTCTGCTAGAAATTCTTTCTCTCCTTGTTCGGATTTGTTAACAGACAGTTTCTTAACTGCAATTAGCCTTCCATTTGCCAACTTTCCCTGACAAGTATACACTTTAGGATCATAACCTACAACTAGAAGCATGTGCAAATGGACTTCATGTTCCAGTAGTGAGTTTCTTAACACCCAAGTAATTGCTGCCAATCTCTTAAGTTCACATGTATCACCGCACAAGTTCATTTACCAGTTATTTCAGTTTGATGAATATATTGATCAATTCACTCTGAGACTACAATGGGACCCATTAATACTTCGATCTAAAATTTGACATACATCATACATATTAGTGTTGCAATATAAATGCATCATACTAAAAAGTTTCAAGGCTCGTATCAACAAATCAACCCCCTCATTAAAGCAAGCTTAATTAAATTCAGTATTTGTACCCGATAGACAGGCCCAAATCCACCACTTCCGAGAAGATTACCGGAATGAAAATTCTTGGTTGCCTTCTTCAATGTCCAGTAGTCAAAGTAGATAATTGTTCGGAGGCTCCCACTCAAGACTTCCATGGATCCTGTATACAAAATATAAACTCCAATGTTGAGACCCTATAATAATTAGTGTATTAAAGTGGCAGGTTCTTTTTTCTGGGGCAAAAAAAAAAAAAACAAATAAAAAGTGGCAGGTTCTATGATTGTTTCTTTCAACTACCTTGCTGCTTACTTGTTGAAACTATCATCTCCACCACCTCTGCTGGTTCATCAGATTCACCGAGAAAAGAACAAATAAAGTAATATATAAGAACATCTACCCCTCAATAAAAAAAAAAAAAATTCATGCCACAATCATATAAAAAATTAAGGCAAAATAGATTCAGGCATCTAATATTGTGGTTTTTTGGTGCTTTGTTTTAATTACCTCGTTGCTGCTCATTCAGAAGCTGCTGTTTGTTCCAAGCCATCATTTTCATTAGTTTTGCTGGTTTAATATGATTCCGACACACAAATAGAAGAATCAGCAATATGATGAGCATTACTATCCCTCCTAAGAGAAAGAACAATCCTTCAGAATTCTGTACGGATGATGCCTGAAAATTCTGAGAGGATGAAGGAGATCCCACTGCAAATCACAGTTTTGTCACTGATTTTGTGTTTATTCCTAGTGAAGTGAAGGAATAGATAAAAAAAACTGACACACAAAATTAAGGGTTTGATCCCACAATGTAGCCCCTTGGATGAATCACCTTACTTGACCAAATCCACATGGGCTACACGGGCTTATCACGTAATATTAAAAATTATAAGGCTTACCATGAGTAAAGCAGCTAAAATATATAAAATACATGTATAAGTGCAAAGTTATGTTTAATTTCATTTTGCTGCCATTTAAAAAATATTTACACAGTACTGACACCAATAAACCAGTATGTGATGACTATTTTCCTATGATATAGAAGACAAATAGCCTTCCTTTCCCTTATTTCAAGAAAATAGGGAAAGGAATTTGGTTAACCTTCCAGTTCAAAGATAAAACATGTGCGACAATCAAGATGAGAAACCAGATGAAACAGAACTTAACAAACTGATTTCATTAAAAACTTGATAACATCTGGGAAAGACAGTTTTTCTTTTTGGGGTGGTCAGAAGGAAAGACAGTATCTAGTTAAACTCAACTCACGGGAGAATCAAAATGAGAAAAATTCTTCTCACACATTCCCAAATTAGAGCCAAATAAGATCAGCAATCTAAGGAAATTCAACAGCCAGCTAGATTCCATAATTAATGCTAATGATGAAACTTTGCGCTTGCTTATAGTCTTGTACAGTTATGCTGTGGACATTAATAAGTGCGCCTAAAGAAAGCAGATTGAAAAGGCTCATACAAGAAAAGTGAGATGGACAATTTAGTGAAAGCTTGGATTTACTTGTTCTGTTTAAATCACAGGTGAACCTGAAGAAAAACATTAGCATTCTCACATGTCGCAACAGTTAGACACCTTGAAGGAAACATTAAGCAGACTTATATGGAAAGGAGTAAAAAATTTTGCATTGAAATGCAGGAGACGAGAAGTGAACCTTCGATTAATCGGCGAGGCATTCTGGGGTGGGGAATGAAGCTTTGAGAAGGTTCATCAACTATGTGGGTCACGGTCATCTCAGCAGAAGAGGAAGCATTTTCAGTGCGTTTCCCTTTCTATTTCGTTATTGTCATTGTCATGAGAAGAACAAAGAATTAAGAATTCGAGAGACGCACACAGAGAGAAAAAGTGGGAGACATGGAAGGTTGGCATTCTATGGGGATTCCGCGGAATTGATCGGAACAAGGGAATGTTGGGAAATTCAATACGAGGCCGCTCGAGGACGAATAGAAACATCCAAAATATTTATCAAGACACAACCTTTTCTTCTCCATTTCGCTATCTGAGTTACAAGAATAATATATTGTAAGAGGAAAACCGCTATTAGCTCTCACTGGCTCAACAACGATGCAATGCGTGATGTCTCTGGCGCTTTTGAAACATTCTCAGTAGTTCTTCGAGCTGCCGCTTGCAGGGATTGGAGCTGGCCGCTCCCAAGGCGGCCCCACCCTATCCATTTTTAATTTTCATCGGGCGTACTTTAAAGCCATCTACATGAACCACAAATGTGGGGCCAAGGAAAGGATCTGAATGCAAATTGGCCGTCATGTTTTCGCAAAAACTAACCTCTTATGTAACCAAAAAAAAAAAAAACTAACCTCTACCGATAGAGATTAGGTTTAGCAGAAGGAGCTAGTTCCTCATAACGTAGTGAATTAAGGTTTCAATTCTTGCTGTGAGATGTGCTTACATTTAGTGCCTGACAGTGCCTCGAATAGAATTGCCTCTAATAGAAAGATACTTATACTTTTGGGGGGGAAAAACTAACCTCTTGCCTTCCGGCCCGAGAATAGTTGAACTCTTTCCGTGAAAGTTTCTTTCTTTCTTTCTTTCTTTTTTCCTTTTCAAGCTTTCCACCAAAGTTTCCTATTGCTGATATGAAGACTTATCAGTAAACAATCTATAAGTATCCTTACAAGTACTTTCTGAATGCCCGCTCATTGATCCTGGTGAGTCCTGTGACCTAACTTACCTGAACATTTTTGTATAAAAAAATATATCTCAATTTGTTTTTATTTTCTCCCAAATTACCTCTATTTTGCCCTATTAACATGTACAACATGAATACTTTTTCCTATTTAACAAAATGATTAAAAGGAGAAATCATTGGAAGGAATCAATACAAATTTTTGTAAACAGCGCAGCTTACTAAAATTTTACTAAATGTATGATATTAAAGAAAGAAAAATTTTTCCTATAAAAAATTTTATGGTGAGAAGAACCTAACAAATTTTTATACATAAAAAGTATCAGTACTTTGTAAATTTTTGCACACATAAAGTACTAGTACTTTGACTTAGTTTGTTCTTACCAATAAAATTTTAATGGAGAAATTTTTCCCAATTTTCCCTTACTTTATGTTTGATTTGATGGAAATGAAGAAGAAAGAAAATTTTAGTAAGTTTGATTGTTTGTCATACTATCTTTTCATAACTTGCCACGCAACTCAACTCGCCATTATTGAGTCAATTATTGCTGGTTTTTTGCGAACCCATGCTCTTGTATTGTTATTCACATTGAATTTATAATAAAATGATGAGGAAGATGATGATGTTGATTTTTCAAATGCTAATTAATATGCTACTCATCTGAATAAAGAAGAAATAAGAATTTTCTATGTCATTCTACATTCCATATATTTAATATATATTAATTTAAACACTTATATTCTGACCAAGAGAAATTTAAACGCTTACAAAATGAAATTATTCTCCCTTCCTAATTTTTTTTCCTTTTTGTTTGTGCCTGTTCTACTGAGTATATGAACAAGGTATCACTTTCATCAGCCTCCTCTCCCTGCAAAAAAAGATGTA